TGTAGGTAGGTAAATTAGTACCTAAACAAATAATTTCAGTTGAAATTGTATTTGCAACTGATCTGATATCAGTGGCTAAAATCACAGTTTCTAAAATGTTGTTGTATTTGAATTAGGTAGATGCTATTTAAGTGCTCCTAAATATAGTTGAAGAAAAACTTGAATCAGTTAATTATTAACTAGAATTACAATTTTTTTTTCATTATTAGGAAATTGTTGGCTTCACGTTTACTTGGTGGTGTGTCAGAATGGAAAAAAAAACTTAAAAGTCTATGTAATAATTAGGTGCTAACAAAGATTGGAGAAAAAAACTAAAACAAAACTTGTAGATAAACATGAGTACTACACTCCTAAATTATTTTCCAGTATACAGGGTGGCCCCCAATAAGTAGTGGTGATAAAAAGTTATGTTTTTTAAACGGCTCCCCCCTGTATACTTATTATGACATTTCTGGATTCTGTGGAAAATTCTAGACATATATCATGTACAATGTCATATACCTATCTTCAACTGTTTCGGAAATATTGACAAATGAAAATTGACTTTTTGCAACTTTGACAGGCTGTGAAATCTAAACGGTTAATTTTAGAAAAAAAAACGATTTTACATTTTTATCTTAGATTTTCATAAGCTATCATTTGACACCAACCTCGACACCAACTTAACCAGGGATTAATAATTTAGGCGGAATTTTTAATAATGGGTTAAATTCAAAGTTGGTGTCAAATGATAGTTTATGAAAAACTAAGATAAGAATGTATGATCGGTTTTGCTGTAAAATTAACCGTTCAGGTTTTACCTTGAGTTTTACAGTCTGTCGAAGATGCAGAAAAGTCAAATTTCAACTGTTAATATTTCCTAAACAGTTGAAGATAGGTATATGACATTGTACATGAAATATGTCTAGAATTTTCCGCATAATCCAGAAATGTCATAATATACAGTAAGAGTTATTTAAAAAAACATAGCTTTGTGTCACCACTCCTGTATACTGGAAAATAATTTAGGAATGTCGTACTCATATTTATCTACAAGTTTTGTATTTAGTTTTTTCTTCGATCTCCGTTAGTATAGGAGATATATAGACCACCGCGCGCTTAGTAACTCACCCTGTATAGTCCATCTTGGGACAGCTAGGTTTATAGACCTCCCAAAATGAGAACTTTAAGATTTTATTGGAAAAAGTTATACAGGGGGTTACAAAAAAGTTCCAACGTTTTCCAAAACTAGGTAATTTATGAAGGAGTCCGCCATTTTGAATTTTTCTCAAATGTCAAAAGTTTCACTTTGATTCGTTAGCCTGTTCATTTCCCTTCCAAAAAAGCCAAAACAGTAATAAATTACTCAACAACAAAAAAAGTTACAGCTCAAAAACACAATTCCGGCTTTTTTTGGACCACCCTATATTATACATAGGGTCATACAAAAATACAGGGTGTCCCAAAAAGATACCGACAAACTTTAAGGGGTAGTAGGGGACATCAAAACAAGCATTTTTGTTTATATAAACATATGTCCGCAAATGAGTCATTTGGGCTGTAGAGCAAAAAAACTGTTTGATACTTTTATTCTTCGCAATAATTAAATCACTGTTTACTTATTAATTTTGCTTTATTATCAAATAAATTATGGTTTACAATAATTGTTCGTCGGGTCATTGACTGAACAGTTTAGTCTACGAAACACCTGTTCGTAATGAGGAAGATCTGATAGCAAGGATACTGGCGAGTTGTACCCATGTAGAAGCTATTCCCGGAATATTCCAAAGAGTTCGCGAGTTGAACAATTATTGTAAACCATAATTTATTTGCTATTAAAGCAAAATTAATAAGTAAGCAGTGATTTAATTATTGCGAAGAATAAAACTAGATACCAAATAGTTTTTTTGCTCTATAGTCCAAATGGCTCATTTGCGGACATATGTTTTTATAAACAAAAATGCTTGTTTTGATGTACCCTACTACCCCTTAAAGTTTGTCGGTATCTTTTTGGAACACCCTGTATACAGTGTGTTTATTTTTCTAACTAGAGGGATCTCGGTTATTATAATAGATACGAGGTCCGCGAGGTCGGTTGAATTAGGGTAAAATCGCGCAATTTTATGGCCAATAAAATGGCGGTTTGAAATTTGAAAAATTTCGGAGAAATCCGAAAAAAAAAAAACGAAATTTTTCAAAATTGTTTTTGTAGTTTAGAATGGCTTAAGATCCACCTTAAATTGAGGGGACTTTGATATATAGTGAAACTTGTATTGAGGACGACTGACGACTTAACATTATTCTATACCTTAAAGTGACATTGAAATACTGGCCCTTAGAGTGCTAATAAGCTAATAATTATTAAAATAAAACAATTATAAGTAGGGATAATTAAAATGAAAAATAAACAAAACACATGGACTTGACAAAAAGATTAGTACTAGGAAGGCCCACCCCAATTTCTAATCACATCCACCACTCTTTTCGGCATACTGTCTATTCAATCCCTTATCAAATTCTGGGGAATAGCTTCCCACTCTTGCCTTACTGCATTTACCAATTCATTAAATCTTCAAAACCATTTAACCGTTCAGTCAGTCTTAATTTCATTCTACTCCATACATGCTCAATCGGATTCATGACAGGCGACTTTGCAGGCCACTCCATTCTTTCAATATTGTCGTTTCTAAGAATTTTGGTAAAATATTTGTTCGATGTGAACGAGCATTATCATCCACAGACAGAATCATTACCAAAGTTGTTTGCATAGGGAACAATATCTCTTACACATAAATTACGGTACCGTTCTGCATTCATACTTTCTCTCCATAACAAAACACGCCCGTCATTCTGATACAACGTGAATCTGCATCCATCCACAAACAAACATTTCTGCCATTCAGCTCTACTCCCAATCGAGATATTTTAAGTCGTCAATTGAAATGCATGTTGTGTGACAGTTTGGTTCTATCACGGTTCAGTTACTGTGATTTCATTTATGGCAATTTTTTGTATGCACTTGATCGATATAGGATATAAAAAATTCAAAACTCTTGCTGTAGACTTCTTTACGGTCTCAGAAAGTATGATCCGATCTCTCATAAGATCGTTTACTGCAACTGGCTCAACATGGATAATCGGAGAACTCATCATTTTGGAAATTTTCTTCATTCATTGTCCACCTCCCCTCATGCTTCTGTCACAGATTACTTACATACAGATGCGAAACAGCGGCGAATTCGATTAATTTGATAGACATAGGCTGGCCGCACCAATGCCACATCAATGTATTTTGAACATATTTATTATATAAATGCGGAAGCTCAATAATATAATATTATTTCTTCAATTGGTTCATAAACAGCAAAAAAATATTTTTTTCTACCCGCAAAAATATGTAAACACACAGGCTGGAACATGCTCACGCACTCGGCCACGTTAATTGTCCTGACGCGGGCGATCTTTATCTATGCGTGGGGCCGCTGGCGGCCCGGCTCCAGCGGCCCGGCTTCGTCACAGAATATCGTCGACAGCAAGTATACGTACTTACGCATCTGTATTAGGTGATCTGTGCTTTTGTGTTACTTATTAAGTTTATTCCCCGCAATAATGTACATAATTGGAACATCAGATCAAACAAGAAATTTACAATTTCACGACACAAACAAAACCTCCTTATTTCAAAGGGGTTTTATTTATAATGCTATTAAGATTTATAATTCTCTTCCTCATGGTTTAAAGGAACATAATATCACAAGTTTAAAGCGTGAATACCGTTCTATATTGTTTAATGAGCAGGTTAATTCCCTCACCTAATTTAGTTGCTGATGACCTGCTAGAGGGTGATGCTCTAGTAGCTTTCAAGCTAGACTTCGCCATGCTAGAATTTGCATCCCCTATTATGTTACTTATATTTTACTTATAATATTGTTCTTCTTTGTATGTGAATGTATCTTTACGATTTTTTTCTGTTCTTAATATCGAATAAGAGTTTTGTTTCGTCGCACTGGTAAAAGGATTCTGTTGTCATCCTGGGCCGAAGTAATTTTTCGTTTACCACCTGCAATGTCTATAAGCAGCGGTGCCAGTGTTAAACCGCCATTTTATTGGCTATAAAATTGCGCGACTTTGCCCTAATTTAACCGACCTCGTATATTTTATAATAACCGAGATCCCTCTGGTTAGAAAAATAGACACACTGTATATTTTTGTAGGACCCTGTATAATATGTTCTAAGTGTGTTTCCACATGCGCCATACTTGTAGTGTTTGTTTCGAAAAGAAATAATGACGTGAAAAGCTATATTTTACATAAAATCGTGGTGGGCTGCAAAATTCAAAAAATCTCAAAAACGTCCCGAGGTACTAAGGTACTCTTCTAAACTGAATACCAAAAATAAACTTAACTTTTCCTCCGTCAGAATGGGATGAACCGAAACTTTCGCAAAAAAATCGCCAACTTATGTTTTAGTCTGTATTATTTTAGCAGGTGGATGGAAATCTGTTAGCAACTAGATCAGCCTTTCAATCCTGAAAATTTGAACAAAATCGGTAAAGCGACCAAAAATTGGGGTGTTCGAGTTCGATTGATGCGTAGTTTATTTTAATTCTCTTCCTGTACATACATATTGTTTAATTCTATCTATTGGGTAAATTTCATATGTCTGCATTTAAACAACAAATACTACTTATCTCTATCATGATGAGATAGTACTCTGTAGCGCTTGGCTATATTCAAGAAGATCTTCTGTTGTACCATTTTTTAGCAAAATTCTGAAACAAAATCTACCTGCACAAATTTTATATCCAACTAAGCCGGACTACTACAAAATGTCCGGGCGCCGCAGTGGCCACCAAGGCCGCTTATCAGCCCTTAAGATCCATCCCCCAAGAAGTAATTCCACGTTACTCACACATACACACACTCACAACTCACGTGTGCATGTCTTGTGGCGCAAGCGCCCTCCGCCTCCTGATCTCAAATGCAAGATCTTGAAGGATTGGGCAACAAGCACGCCACACTATTATTCTTGACCGCTTACTGTGATTCACGGACACAGTGTTCCTCTCCGTCCATATCATGAGCTGCTTCAGGATGAACGCTTTTTATGTGACAGTGTCCATTCCGCTCCTGTTGGTTCTCGCTGGATTTAATCACGCTCATGGGTTAACCACTTTTGGAAAATCGACGCCAAATAATCAACCACCCAATAACTGTGAGTTTTTCTTTTTTGGATTTTATTGCTTTTTTGTGACATCATACATTAATTTGTTTGATATTATACTGTGTATAACAGTTCCTGAACAAATTTTTTCCTTCGCTTGTGATTTCATAGCAAGAACATACCTATTTTTAATTTAAGCTGCGTTTTTGATTATTTAACTAGTCATCGAATTTTGTAGATGTATAATTAAGTATCTTTTTTCACATTCCATTCATCATCAGCCTTCACACCACTCATAATATGTCAGTGTTAGAAATATAAATGATTATAAGAAAAATTAAATCTTCACCAGGACAATGTTATCTAGGTTGATTGGTCAGGGAGGAACTCTGTTTTTATATCATGCATTTTCTTTCTAAACATATTATAGTCAATTTTCCTCCAGCTCCTCTTACAAGGACAGAATTTTTAAATAGAGCTAGAGTTTTCTCAGTGCTACCCGTTGTGGTGGAATGGAATATATATCAACGTTTTATTCATTAGAAGAATATACATACTTAGTTTCACTCGAATGGAATTGATGGGATCAGCTAGTTAGATGAAGACATCCTCTAAAGCTTTCAAAATTGAATTGAAATCCTTATGATACCAGAAATTTAACATCTTTAGGATGAGTCCCTTTCTCGTCGACATTATTTGCAAAAGAATTTGGCTGGACCCCATCCTGACTGAAGGACTGCGAAAACAAATATAATTTTAAATGGTTTTTGCGAAACAATGTGCTAAAGAGACTTTCTTTACCAAGTTATTGGCTTCATTGCTACACGACTTTAAAAAAAAACGAATATGTTTTTGCTTCCGTAAATATGAAAATTCTAATTTCTGCCATCACCCAATTAGAGTGATTGATGCAATTTTACATGATTGCATAGAAATAAAACATGAAATGTTCCAATTACATTCAGGATTTTATTTATAGCATTTTGAAGATGGATTGATTTATTTTAAGGGTGGATTATGCGATTAGGAAATAAATTTCTTACAAAATGCAAGTACAAGACATTACAAAAATTGAATGCCCATTGAATCATTTATTTCACATCCAGGGTCTTACTTAAAAATAGACTAATACGTATTATTGATATGAAAACGGAAAAACTGACAACCGAGATGTCGCCGACTAAAATGTTTTATGGGTATTTCTAAATATATCCTACCAAAACTGGAAACACTACATTTTTCTTTATAACGCACAAACACAATCATGAAAATTTTGCTTATTTTCGCTGTTTTCGTCTCCGGCTTCTTCACATTTTCTGGTAAGGTTTAATTGAAAATGCAAATAAATTTAGTTTCTTATTCAATTTCCTTTTTATCTGTGTAATTTGCTAATATTTCTTTTCAGTTGCCAAAGCGAAGCAATGTACTGTCCAAACGAATTGCAGCTTCATCAAAAGCACCACGTGCCTGAAAGGGATGTGCTTGTGTGGCGACAACCATGCACCCAACAATGGGGAATGTGCGGTTACTTTATTAGGTGAGAATATTTTCAAATGAAATTTCCAAATTTAATTTACCTTTGACTTTGACTTTATCAGTTTTGCACTGCTTTAAGCACATCGAGTATGTTGGCACACCAGGCACTGAATTTTCTGTGTTTCAAGTGGTTCACTAGATTGGGATTGATTAATCACAGCCTGAAATGTATGCTTCAATTAGGTCAACACTTATTTCATTCACCCCAATCACCCCCAACTACACGCATACTAATTTCGGAAATATGTTGGAATAAAAACTTATTTCCAGGATATCTGGAAAACCTTTCTGTTTCCATATTTTTGTTTTCATCAAGAGAACATAGGTTTTGATTATCGTTAAGCAAGCAAGATAATTTATTCACAAACATAAAACCCATCAATCCATTATCTTTTTCTTTCCGGAAAATAATCAGGCTGAAAGGTTAGCTCTGAACTGATTGAGAAATATGGTGAACTTGACACTTACTTATGAATATTAAGTTATCGCCATTATGGAAGGGTGTGGTTCTATTTTAATCGTTTGGTAAACATATTGTTTTAATTTTTTTTTTTTCTGGAACATGTAGTTTATAGTAGATAGAGCTCCGATTTCAAAATTCAAACTAATCGCTTAATTTATACCAAGTAAGATATAATACAAACAACCAAATCATTAAGATATAGACAGTTCAGAAAATAGATGAAGTCAACCACTGGAAATACGTTTTCCGAAAGGAACTAGATAATACACCTGAAATTAGGTTGGCATAAATAAAATATTTCTAATTATCATCTAAAAAGAGGAATGATAACATCCACTTTTTCATCTTATCATCATCATCGTCCAGCTATGGATGGATATACCTTCTCTGTATAAGCCTTCCTAATGGATTTTCATTTGGTTAGATTTTGAGCTACCGGTACCTACTAATTCAGGCTATTTTTTATGTTTTTACATTACTTGTCTCATCTTACAGCCACTTTATGACTCCATTGTTCGCCGCATGTCTGGCTACATGAACGGCCCCAGCTCAATGACATTTTAGCACAGATAGACACCACATCTCATTCATAAACTGATGTTTTTTGTGAAGACGAGACCTCCCATGGGTCAGGAGAGGTGAACTGCTCGAGAGGGGTCATGATGGGGATGCATCAGAGGTGTAAACAAGATCGGCCCTCCCCTCTGAACCAGTCATTCACCAAAATAATGAAGAAATGCGCACGGATGCAGCTGGTTTATCTATCTGTCTGCCTCTAACTCATGTAATATACTTTCGATAAAGGGGATACACCGGAGGTGGATTGCTCTCCTAGATGTTAGCGACACAAAATTTTGTTTACTGTAATGTCTATCTATGTTAATAGTCGGGAATCAGCACACCGAAATTCGATCACCTACTGTGCACTCGAGGATATACTTTTTAAAAAATATGTTACAATATGGAGAATGACCTTGCAGATGCAAATCCGGAGGGCTCCATTTAATTCGTAATTGCAATTAAGCATAAAAAAATATTTTCCTACTTTATTGAATTATCGGAAAAATATTATTTTTTGTGTTTAACTCACGACTGTGAAGCTATTTTTCAATATTTATCCAAAATTCTTGCACCAAATGAAAGCCTAGTCATTGTAGAGTGCAACTGTATATGCAAAAAACTATTTTTTTTTATACTGAATTTCTCAGATTACTTAAAAAGAGGTGCGGTACCAAAACTGAAGTGAAAATTTCAGCATCGAGAAAATTTTTGAACGGTTGAAGATAGATATATGATCAATCGACGAAAAATGTGCCTAAATGAGTGAGGAAGTTTCTGGTGGAAAGAGATTTTGACTAGTGGTAAACGGTTTACGAGATATGATTTTTTTTAAAACGACGATGGACCCCAGCCGCTGCGGCATTGATCTCAACGGACGCCTTGCCCGCACCCTGGCCCCAGCGCGGCCCAACTTCGACACGACAGTAGGTACTGATTTATTCTATAAGGACAGACATTTCTATAAAACCTAATTAGGTAACTAAAACTTATATACTTAATTTTAATTTAAATAAAACCCGCCTCCAGAATAGCAACCTCTTATACCATCCAACCCTGCTTTTAAACCCTACAGTTTAGTTTCTAGTGCATATCTGGAGTTTGCATTTGCAGCACCATTTTCGAATCTTACATCGGTATGGATACTTATTGTGGTTAATTTTATTATCTTTCAGTTCCCAACCAAAATTAACTGGGTTGGAAATTTCTGGATTTATTGAAATCGCACTCTTCCACACAATTATTTCATAGGCAGTTCTTTCTTAATAGTAGGCACATGCTTATTTTTTCTGATGAAATGCATCCTCTGTGGGTGGCAAATTCCTTATATCAGATTTACAGGTGAAATAGATGTGCGTATGACATATTGTTTATTTGAAACGCCTGTAAATGATGGCCTACTATTCAAAATTTTGAAAAAAAATATCTAGGTGCGTTTTCGAAACTCATTAAATTAATGTAGTGGAGTAATCTAGAAGTGCCTTTAATTGTATATCGTTACTCAAATCCATTTGAACAAGATTTATCCATAGATAATTCTTTCATGATGTGGTGCACAGGTATTATGTGTCAAATTTGTGTAGCCATAATTCCTGAATGGATAACCTTTGTAATAACGTAGAGAGACAGAACAAATATGTCGGTATCGGCCGATTCCATTATTATTTGATGGTACTGTAGGTTTGACAAGTATTGGATTATTGGATAATGGCAAATATTCTAGTGCAAACCTTATTATGGTGGAAAAAGTGTAGTTCAGGCAGTAGGTATTTTATTTGCTGAGGTATCTATACCGTATAATTTGAAAAGTCTGTTTTTTGTTTTAAGAAAACCCCAAGTCAAAAATTTGTGTCACATTGTATTGCTGACATTATGTAATGTTGATTTTTATCTTTAATAAAAAACCAGATTTTACTTAAAGTTTGTTATGAATTGAAATTGAAAATAGTGAAGTAGTGTAGGTATTTTCTGCCATTCCAGCGGTAATTATGACGATATTCTTGAGAAGCCGGTTATATTCCGTCCATATCGCTTGCGTATTTTAAAAAAACAATTATTGAAACGGAATAAATAGTTGAATACTTCTTCCATTTCCTACAGGTCGTGATCGAATGGCCTCCTAATTGACCTAATTTCTTTTAACCGAGTTATTGAAGTTATAGGTCGGACCGGGTAGGTTTCCGTTGAAACGGCAGCGGCCGGCGCGCATCGGCATTTCACAAAAAAAATCGTATCTTGGAAACCGTTACCACTACTGCATTTTTATTTTCACCAAAAACTTCCTCACTCATTTAGGCACATTTTTCGTCGATGCTGAAAATTTCACTTCAGTTTTGGTACCGCACCTTCTTTTACGTAATCTGACAAATTCAGTTTAAAAAAAAAAAATACTTTTTTGCACATGCAGGGGAAATCTGCAAAAACTAGGCTTTCAATTGGTACAAGAATTTTGAAAAAATATTGAAAAATGGCGTCACAATCGTAAGTTAAACACAAAAAATAGCTTTTTTACGATAATTCAAAATAGTCGGAAAATATTTTTTCTTTCTTAATTGCAATTACGAATTTAAGGAGCCCTCCGGATTTAAATCCGCAAGGCCATTCTCCACACTGTACCTATCTTTTAAAACGTATATCTTCGAGTGCACAGTTCAATGTGTAGGAGACGTCTTTTGGGCAGTCCCCGACCCCCGACTATAATATATCATTGCCCCAGCTTCATTTCAAGGGGCATATTCTGCTGCAGCATCTAACTATGTCCTGCTTATTCTCGATGTAGATTGATGCGTACGTTCTCTCAGTTAAAAAGCTTAAAGCTATCTTTAAGACCTAATTACTATATCAGGTACCTACTGAACAATTTGGGAGCGATGGTAATCACCATGGCGTATTTCACACACCAGTCTGATTGAAAGCTTGGATTGTTGTAAGCCAATCTTATTTATGAAGATGTTATGATGACAGATGTTCCCCAGAAAGCATCAAACTAAGTCAGGAGTGTAGGAGAATGAACATCACAGGATTCCATAAAATAGAAAAGTCAATACAAGGAGATTCAGCTTGAAATTATAATTAAATATTGCAACAAATGCATCTTAGTGTGGATAAATTTGAACTTATTATTTCAGTGCGTTCTTGAATAGGGTCATTTTTGTTAAGGATAATTAGGGAAAACCTAAAATACATTCCGTATCTCAAAAACAAGGTAGTCATTACACTATATTTTTAATACTCTATAAATATATTTATTCGAAGTTCCAGCAGGACGACTTTGGAAGTACAGAGGGCCTCACCGGGTCAAAATCATCGAAAAATTTCACAAAAAAACTGGTAAAAATTTAACTTTATTACAAAATTGCATAAGTAAGAAAGTTGATAATGCTTTATAAGTATATCATTATACTGAAGCCCTGTTAAACTTATCAGAACGCGCCAGGCTATTTTCTTAGGAAAATCTACTTTTACTAAGCTATAAGCTTAAAAATTAGGTAAAAGTAAGACAAACTAATCATTCTGCTGCTGTTATATTTTGCTTAGCTGCTTAAGCTGCGTGCTATCCTTGTACATATAAGCTAATGAATAAGGAAATATGTTTGTAATCTATTTACTAAAACAAAATATGTTGTGTGAACAAATTGTTTATGTTTAAGGTCCAAACCACATCTGTACTAAAAACGATGACTGCGTGGACAATGCAGACTGCATCGCCCTCAGAGAGGTGAAAAATGTCAAAGAAATTTCGCATCTGTACCAAACTCCCGACATCAGTATCTGCAGATGCCAAGAGGGTTACACCGAAACTGGAGCCACTTGCGGAGGTAAAAACAAAATTCTATTTACCTTATTATTTCATTCGCTCATATATTTGTTGAGTCATAGAATCAAAAAAGTAAATCTAGAGCAACCCACAACAACCTAGTATTATTGAAAAGAAGGTATGACATCACATAATTCAGCATAAATCGTTATAATCCAGATTATGTTTGATCATCAGTCAGCAAAAAGAAATCGTAGATCTTCTTCTAACAAAAATATTTCAACAAATCCTTATAACAAACCGCTTTGTTTTCCAAGTAAAAAAAAAGAAACGAAACCCTTTAATAAAAAGGAAAAGTGTAGGGAAATGGGTGATTTAGCCGCAAAAGAGTATTGATCGCCAGTTCCACTTTCTTATATCCAACAACAGTAATTTAAACATAATTATATGCAACCTTTCTCGATTCGAATTTCTATGTGGTGGTTATAATTCTTCGCGACCGATAAAATAATAATATTAATTAATAGGAGATTGCATGTTTTGCATGGTGCTCTGCTCGACTCTGCGGTTTTATTTCTTTTATACAAATCTTGGTGATTCAACAACCAGGATTGGAATTATGACATACCTATATGTGTGAACAGCGTCCGCCGGCTTATTTCCACACGATCAAGTTCTCTGTGTTTTGAATATTGCAGTTAGGCATAACATAATTCAACAACATTGTAAGCCTAGTTGCTATAATATTTAAGTATTTAAGTTCAATTTCTCTGACAGTGAAACCCATCATAGGTTTTTGTGTGAGGTCTATTTCGATTGCTAGAAACATGAAATCGAATATTTAAGTGGTCTTGAATAGAAATAATCTGATAGCAGGAGCCCCTAACATTTTCGTGCAAAGTCATGATGTCAGTATGACGTAACAAATGAAATAAATGTGGTATCTGATTTAACAACACGAACGGATTTTATTTTCAAATAATATTCGCATATTCTCAAAGCCATGAAGGAAATTATGTTTATAGGATTTTTGGTACAAATTGGAGCATTTTAATCGAATTTTGTTCTATTTGTTGGATACTATTGGGAAATAGAGTTCAAAAAGTTTCAAAAATATTGCCTTGTTTGAGAACCCAAAGATCTTGCCCTTCTGCATTTCTGTTTTAAAAATCTTTCGCCATTTCCTTTATTTCGTCATATTTTTTTTTCTATTGAAACTTTTAGTTTGTTTCATGCGACAAATATATATCCCAATTGAAAATCCTCAAGGTTTGAAAGTGCTTTGAATCCTTGAATTATTTTTCAGAACCTTTCAATGGTGATTTAACGCGAACCTCATAAGCTTTTTTAGTAGGAACGTGAAAATAAAATCATATTGATAGATCCTAAAAATTTGGAACCGATCTGAAACTTTGAATTATGGGAAAATTCTTTGATTTAAGATGCATGTGGTGTGTTTAAAGTATGTCAAGTAATTTTTTGACTCATATTATAAAAAGGTATCTCAAATTTCAAGAATATAAGATACAATAACCCACATAACAAAATTGCATCCTTAGAATGTATTAAGAATGTTCTTTTTTTAGGAGGAATGTGCCTAGAATGTTCGCCAAAACCATTGCGAATGTCCTGAGAATGTTCTGAGAAAAGATTGTAGAAATACTGTTTGCAATACCCAAGAACTTCCTGGGAAATCCATTAGGATATTCCTAGAATATACCTATGAGATTCTCAGTACATCCTGAAAAGAATATTCCTGTTTGATTCTAAAAATATGCTCGAAATGTATATTCTCATATTCAAAGAATGTTTCTATGACATTATAGTTATGTTCTCAAAAGAATATTATACCAATATGCTTGAAATATTCTTAGAATATATCTACATATATCGTTCTCAATATGCATCCTAGACATAACATTCTTGTTTGATTCTAAGGATATACTTGGAATGTTAATTTTCTTTTCCAAATAATGCTCCTTCCAGTCCTTTTATATTAAAGGCAGTGAAAGAATTGTTGGAAAATTTCTCAGGAAAACACAAGTGACAAAAGTGTTTAACCAAAACTCCGGTTTCGAGCTTGTTATGCTCTCGTCGAAGCACACCAACTGAGAGAAACAGGTTCCAAGGTGATTCAAACGCGAGGCAAGATGTAGATATTTAATAGCGCGTGGCTCCCTCTCTTGGAAGTCCTACAAAGCAAAAGAAAAAGAATATACCTATAATATTCTTAGTAGGTTTTAGATAGAGCATTATTGTTTAATTGTTCAATTAAGTTTTTGAGTAGGTACTTTAGATAATAAGGTGAACAATATGGAAATATTCTTATCATGGGTACCTACCTACATAAACTTCTCAGCACAACTTGGTAGGTATATTCTTAATACATGATAGAGATATTAGCCGAAAGAACATTTTTCAGGATACATTATAATAATGTTCGTATGAGACTATTCAAATAATGTTATATAAAGTAGGTTCTTAGTACAATCTTTCAGGTAGGTGCATAGAAGCAACATTCCTAGTACATAAATAGAACGTTCAAAAATGAATATTTCTATCGAAACAATCTTAGAATATTCATTGAACAATCCTAAAAGAACATCCCAAAAAGTACTTTGAGGGAATATTCTGAGAATATGAATGTTCTTTCACTGTTATGTGGGAATAAGCCCCTATGGCAAATAAAAACCTTACCAATTTTCAAGGATAATCAATTTGACATTGAATGGTTATCTACTTTATAGAAAAATATTTATTGACACAATATTGAAAACAAATACAATAGGTACATTCTTACATTATAATCGGCCCAATATCAAAATGACCGTAATCTCAACTCAAGAAAAAAATGCGACTGGAACAAAGTCCATATTATAATACGGAACGAGTTTTCCTAATTTACTATGAAAACACTCAATAAACTACAAAAAAAAAAAAATTAAATAAATTCTAACAATATAATCGGCCTATTATTTTCTAAAGGAACAATCTCAAATCAAGAAAAATTACTATTGAAAAAAACCCCTCATAAAACTTAAGAAATAAAATAAATTCTAACATTATGGTTGGCCTATTATCAAAATGACTAATCTTAAATCAACAAAAAGAAAACTATTGAAACAAACCCCTTATTATAACTAAAAAAAAATCAAATAAATTCTAACATTATGATTGTCCTTTTATCTAAAGGACCAATCTCAAATCAAGAAAAAAAAACACTATTGAAACAAACTCCTTAATATATACTTAATGATAAAATATTAATGAAATTTAACCATCAAACTTTAAATTCGCATACTCTTCTGGCGACATTTTGATATTTACCAAACGGCCGTCCGCAAGCCTGACGACCAGGCTATGATAGCCGTCAGGGCCTGGTGGCTCAGCTTGAACAAGCTCAACTTCTGGTTCGGTCGTTACTGTTGCGGAAGTGCTAGGTTTCGGCTCTGATCTAGAGGTACCAGGTGTAGGCTCTGATCTAGAGGTGCCAGGTGTAGGCTCTGATCTAGAGTCATTTCTGAAAAGAATTTTAACCATAAATCATTTAAAATACATGACAGTCACTTCAGATTTTAGAAACCTTTCTACTTGGTTATTTTGGTTCTTTGAATTTTTTATGTTTTTCTGGTACCTATCATTTGAATAAAATTGCGTTTAAGAGGGTAACAGCACAGATCAAAGCTACAAAATGATGTTCTGTGATTGGCTGATTTTGCAATTTTTATTCCTGTGCTGGCAAGTTATCGACAAAATTTTGACTAAAGTTCAACTTTGAGGATCAATTTCTCAAAATGTATTGGAGCTTTCAGAATCAATTCGGCACAGTTTATGGAGAATTCAATGCTCTTTCCAATAATACATAATTTATTTCTATTTGCTCAAATTTCAATTAAGAGATGATCAATTTTTCTTAACCTTGTCAAGATATGAAAAAATTCTAGAGCCAAAATTGTTAGGGAGCAGGATGCACCAATTCAATGCATACCACTGAAATATTGCTAATTAGAGTAAAGATTGCATTAAGACGAGGCAATTTAAAAAAAAAAACAAACATATTTTCTGGTCAATTTTACACCATTTACTTGTGTCTGACTATGACCCAACTGAGGTTGATGTTTCTTGAGGATGTGTAAAGAAATTCTGCACTTCTGCTCGTATTGATTTTTTTTTAAATATTGATTGATGATTATGTTTGTATGGTGCAGTTCTTTTTTTAAATTATGACAAAAGGAAATTAATAATTATTTGTAGCCATGGAGCAATACAACAGACTCGTCCGATAACATTGTTCAAAGGTTCACTGACAAAAATTGAAACTTTTTATTTTAGATTTTTTCGCGCTTTGAAATTGCCATTTGGAAGTGATGTTGTAATGTGAAAATTTTCAATTTTTAGCATTTTTTTCAAAGGGTACCTTACCCCTTTGGATTTTCGTATCAAGATTTTTAAACCTCAATATCTCGAAATTTGTGAGAGATATTGAATCAAAATTATCAGGAATTGTAGCTACCATTAGCGTTCAAAAAATGTGTGTTGGAAAATATTTCCAGGTTTATTGTTATTGAGAAAATTGATTTTTTTTAACAAAATTTTGACTGAAGTTCAACTTTGACGTCCAATTACCCAAAAAGTATTTGAGCTTTCAGAATCAATTTAGCACAGTTTTATAGAGAAATCAATGCTCTTTTCAACGGTAAATAATTTATTTTTATTTGTTCAAATTTCGAATGACATATGAGCATTTTTGAAAAAGAGCCAAAATTGGTATTTTCTTTTGGATTTTTTTCCCCTTTGAATTTGCCATTTGGAAATGGCAATATTCCAGAATCCGTGCTAGCTATTGAATCAAAATTTTCAATAATTGTATTTCCTAGTAGGCTTTGAAGAATGATCATGGTTTTTGCCAACCCTAAAATGAATATGTCGAAAACCCCATTTAAAAAGTATGTATACATAGATGGATTTCTAATTTTTTTCTTTGAAATACATAATTCGAATTTTTATTTGCTCCACATTCCCAGTTGATTTAATCAATGCAGCATTTAGTTGGCCTAATTTACTATGCAAAGAGGTTACCTCGATGTATAAAGGGCTGGATATTACCTGACATTTTATAGCCGAAATGACCCCAAATCGTGTGAGCCTTTAATTTAATTATTTAGATAGTATAAAATTCATTTATATTGTAGCTAGAGTTCATTATTCATTTGTAGGTACAGTTGCGAGTTTCAATTTATTTTGTTTCAGGAGGAACTAATCTGGGCACTATCACCATTCTGATCTCAGCCCTACTTGTATACCCACTGTTTTATTAATTTTTTTGGAGGATGTTGGCTGTTTTTTTCTTTAGCTATAGGAAGCACATTAACTGTTGTGTCCGTTAAACTATGTCTTTATTTGTCTTACTTTTGGTTTAAGTCACCCATCAATTTTGTAATTGATAAAAATTAAATAATGTTAGCTTTAGGAATACATATTTTTATGCGGTAGAACCCTAGTTAACCAAGTTGAGCTATGAGTTATCAAAATCTTCTATAGTTTTTTATGAACTTGAGGTAGTTTGTCATAAATTGTAAATGTCAAGTAATTTTTAGAATCCAGAGCAGACAACCAAACTTCTAATTCAAAAGACACGCTGTGAAAATATGCATATATTATTGTATTAAAATCAACTTCACTAAATTGTCGAAAAAGACTTTTCATTGAATCATCTATCAAGTCAATTTTTGTTTGGATTGGATTAAGTGCCTTCCCTAGATGTTCAAATTAGTAATTATTCCAGTTAGAGGTTCTACTGTGGAAAAAAAGATTTAATCACACCACTAATAAGTAGGTACATAGAATTAGTGTTTCTTTTTTGAGAAATTATTTTTATTATTCACGATATCTGCAATGTATAACTGATTTCCATAATACAGGATCTTTTAGCAATAGTGCTACAAACTTCGAGGGAAAATAAGAAAAAAAAAAGATTACATGAACATTGGTCCGGAAACTTTCCTTTCCAAAATGTTGGAGGCAAAAATTTAAAAAAAAAAAATAAAATCGTTTTTCCCCATTATTTTTAAGATATACTGGGTGACCAAGAGATTCAACTGAACGTCATAGTGAAACTTAACCCAATATTTAACCGAATGTTCATATTCTACATATTCTATAAAACAATAGTTTTGTATACATTTTCCTATACCAGTCAATATTCGATTTGACATATCACAAATACATTTAAAAAAGTGTATTCTTACTTGCTGGCTACCAGGTGCTCCTGCACGTTGATTTTGGGGTTTCTTCTGACCATAGGGACTCGGTATACTTGATAAGCACCTGGAACAAAAATTTTGCTGTATATTTTGTTACAAAATATACAGTTCAATACGAAATTTAACGTGCAAAAAGTAAGTAGGCTCTATACTAACGAAACATATCGAAAAACCAATTTCTAGCTGCCCAAATCAAGTTTGAATGATGACAAGAGGTAGTTAATTTCAAAGTGTATATAAGCGACTGAGTTTTTCCGTATATTGCATGCTCTTCTTGTGGATTTCTACTCCATTATTCCTTATGAGCTTTACTATTGTTCATCTTCTTTACAGTATTTTGGATTTCATCCATGGAGAGAGATATCAGGAATATCTTGTTGATTTCGGAATTTTACTTGACAATACCTATTTCATTAGATCGGCTGTCCGTTGATTTCTATATAAAATTTCATAAAATTTTTCCACTATGTACTTGAATTAACATGCCCCTATTCCGGTTTCCTCATAAATGAGGAAAATGGTTTATATTTGTTACATTCCTCATTCTTGTTTGACCTTATTGGGAATTTCTCCAATATCTCAAAAGCAATAATTTTCTGGAAACGTATGTTCATGGGCTTTATTTTTATTTTGTTTTTAATGAGCTATATCTACCCTCAAAGTTTGCAACATTATTTCAGAAACACCCTGTATCATTTTAAAGATGTAGGTACCTTTACTATTTCTCAACAAAATATATTGTTTTCATTATACAAGATGTCCGGAATAACTTGAAGATACAAGGTGGACCAAATGGGCAAAAAGTTACGTAATCAATCAAGTGTTTACAAATAATCTGTCATCAGCTTCTTCGAATTTGGAATAACAACGGACATACAGGACAGATTATTATGCGCATGTTTTTCCCCATTTGGTCCACCCTGTATTTTCAATGGTTTCCGAAATCCCAATGTGTGGTGACTTCAACTGAAACGCATTTAGCATTTTAGATCAAAATAATCGATTTTTACATCACTAGAGGGAAGAGAGTACCTACCTAGATTTATTCTAGTTAAGAACACCACACTTTGTATCGTATGTTAGTAAGGTATATAAAAATATTTGCTATATGTTAATAAATATTATGTCAGTGTATACTTTAACATGTACATTTTTTAGGCCGTTATAGCTGCGTTAGAGATTTTTGGTCATTAGTTTAATTCAACAAAAGTAAGGAATATTTCATGAAAAAGTTACTGACTTTGTTGTTTGTAAGCACTTACGTAGATAATATTTGGTACCAGCCTCACAGTATGAAGTAGCAGTAGACACGATTCACCTAAACCGTCATCGCTTTTTATAATTAATTGCTTCAGGTTCAAGATATTCTCATGTTAAAATATGCCAATAAAAAAAAAAAAAAAATTGAGTGATAGTACTTCTTATCGGACTGGCCATGCTATATAACGTTTGGCTATAGGTATGGGTTAATAAGTGTGTGGTGGTCCATATCTCCTATACTAACTAGAAGTTATATTTTTTTAAAATAACTGCCTTTGTATATCTTCACATTTCAAGAAAAAAAATTAATTTCCAAAGCTTATAGAGAACTTATAATATGTTACGTAATCTCCCTTATCACTTGAAATTACAGTAGAAATTCGGAGATTTAAAAATATACAGGGGAAATCGTTTCAGAAAATAAAACTTTGGGTCACCACTAATTATTGGGCCACCCTGTATATTGAAAAGTAATTCAAGAACGTGTGACTCAGTACTCATGTTTCGATCTTCATCAGTATAACAGATATGGACCACTGCGCCCTTAATGACTCATCCGGTATACATCACCACACTGTAATAGTTTCTTATTTAGCACTTACCTGATTATAATTTATATTTGTATATTATATTATAAAAATAAAGATATTTATTATTATAAACTAAAATAATGTTTGTTCTAATTATTGGACCACTTAGAAACACAGTCTAAATTTGCAGATTAGAAGAAGCAGACTGAACTTTTCCCAACAAGATTTCGTTTCATTCAAAAGCTGTTAAGAATTAAATGTTCTACAACATATCAAAAAATGGGCAAAATTCATAGAGCCCGAAAATCCCATGTTGGGTGTGCCTTATTCTTAATAATTGAGAAAAGTTGAAGATCATGTACTTATATGTAGTTGTTTACATCCACTTAATTAAGAAAATTAACGCGGACACGTTGAACCAACTTCAACTTAAGGAAATCCGTGCGTTAATTTCAATAATAATTATAGACAGATTGAAACATACACCTTCTCAGTTTCATAATATGTTAATTATAATTTTCCATACGTTCAGTTAAGTGGATGTAAATGACTTTGGATTGATATTAGGCAATTTGGTAGGAACCAGTTCAGCCCACTGGGTTTTTGTCAATATTTTTTGTGTATGCCAATCCTGGTATAAGACCATCGATTGTCAAAATGTCAGCATCCAATAATACATCAACTGGTCCTGGAATGTAAAACTGATCATCACCATGTAGAATATTCGAAATATGAAACCTCTCTGTGGCTAGTTGATATGAAGGCAAATTGTCGCAAATTTTATTGAAGATAAGGAAATCGGTCGGTTGTCAAAGTTGGATTAGGCTGTTGAAGACATCGAAAAGATAATGTTACTTCATGGTTGATGGTACTTAATCAGGTAAGGTTGAGTGAAGTGCTTTGCGATTTGAATCCTAAACGACTGGCACATTTTGAAGTTATACAATCAAGTAAACAGCGCACAGATTGATCAGTTCCACGAGCATCCAACAAGGCGATGTATGCAGTAGAAACATAACACTTTTCTTGACAGTGGTGGTAAAGCCATCATGAAGAGAGTAATTTGAATTGAAAGGAGTCGAAGTAGTTCTGCCTAGAGAAGTAATTCTTGAGTTGGAAGAAGTTTATAGATGATTATTGGAAAAATATAAATATGTAGGATGATGTAAGTGACACAAAGATTTTCGATGGCTGCCACCTAGATCGTTGATACAGAGGTTTCAAGATTTAGCTGAGGATATTTGAAAATATTAGTGGAATTTTTATTGCAAACGGAGTAAATAATATTTTCAGTTTGGCTTTGAGTCATAAACTCTTTTGTGAAGAATTATTATGAATTTCAGCGAAAACCGATTTTTTTAAATGTTTTCGAGTTCGTGGATAGTCTTGTTTGGATGCTGATAGACATGCATTCTATATGGAGGCAAGGAAAAGCTGACAAGTCCTTCTTTGCAAAACAATTTGGTCGAATTTACACCCTTTAAAATGTTTTACCAAAATTTGGACTTAAGGAAATTAAGTTAAATAATTATAAAAATAAATCTCTTACCGTTATCACGATTAACCGGATCTTCAGGCAATTCTACTTTCATCAGAAAGGGATTTCCTTCTAATGGTTTCAGTGGCAGCATAGCTGGCCAAGTTGACGGTGATGACACTACTGCCGGCGGAAACTTTGGCAACTCAGATAATAACCCAGATTCAGTCATGTTTTGCTGCATTCTTACCTCTCTTGATCGTAGTGGCAGAATTTTGCCTGTTGACTTTTCGAAGAGAATAACCTAAACAATTTGTTTAAAATTTTATTTGCTGTTTTGGTGTTGAGAGACAGGACACAAATAAAGTAGGTACCTAGCGTAGCTAAGAGCTGCTTAGATTCGCATAATCGATCAAATACATTAGGTACATTAGTTTCAAATCCTTAAGTTAATGGAAAAAATATGAGAACTATTTTTCAGATATTGGGACATACGTAATGACATAAAAATTAATATTTCTATTTTTTATAGTTTTTTGGTTACTGTAGATCAATCTTTCACTATTGATGAGTAAATCAACCATTGAATGTGTAGGTAGGTACTTAAACAATGGAAGAAAAACAGGTTATTTCATGAGCAGAATGGATTCAATTTCAGACACGAGCGTGTTATGTTTATTTCTTTTTTGGTGCAGCATTCTTACCTTATTTTTTCCTGGTCTTGGGAGAAGTGGTTCTAAGGGCGGCGCACAGTGGGCCAGAAACCCCTTGAAATATTGAATTATTCAAAAATATGAAACTGCAAATATCTTCGCAATTTTTTTTTTATTATGGTTAAGTAGGCTATGGATCATCCCAAAACAATCGAATCTTATTGATGCGTTGCCATGGAGACTCGTAAACGCATACAAAAGTTTGACGAATTTGTTATTGTTAGCAGTTATTAATCAATCAAAATCAAAAAGTTGCATTTTATAACTGGTCAAAACTTGTTGTTCGCGAATTACAAAATATTTTGTGATGAATAACTTTCAAGCAGGTAAGTCAATGATTCTTTTAAGCCATTAGTTTTCTGTCATTCATTTGGTGATGCGAGAATATTTTGAATTATTACATATATTGGTGCAAATGTTTGCAACTAAATACATATTTAATTATTTTAACCAAAAATAACTGAATGTTCTACACATAGATACATATTTGTTGATATCTAGTTTTTTCTTTGACCTTATGATTTTTCATTAAAAAAAATAATTTGTGCAACTTTTTGCAACTTGTTGATTTATTGACGTTTCTATTTGCCTAGTATTTTACCTACAATGTGGGACATATTAAAGTTCCACAGTTTTTTATCGCTAATAACTATCGATGTGATTTGATTATTTTTGGCAGGTGGGTCCCACTAAGCAAAAAAACATCCCAGTTTCGTCACATCTTTGTTTTCAAGGTTACACGTTACGTTATTTAAAAAGGATCTGTTACGCCGCCTTAATGGAATAGTGTCGTTATAAGTCCTCAAACATAACAAAATCGCAGTTACGTTTATAAATTAACGTTCTTTGTTCGTAACTATACCATAACAGTTTCGTTTTTGGGATGTTCTTATAACAAACTCATGACAACGTTATATTTATGTTATCAGGTTTCGTTTTTGTTTCGAGACTATGTTATAGTAGTTTCGTTTTTGCGATGTTTTTATAACAAACCCATGATGTTCTATTATATCAATAGGTTACGTTTTTGTTTCGAAACTATACCGTTGAAAATGTTATTAGTTACTTAGATACAAAAAACGAAGAATTGATAGTTATTTAATTTATTTAATAAATTGAAAAATTATATGATTTCGGGCTGACCTCTGGTGATGCTAAAACAAATAATACAGAATCGTTATTTTTTTAATTAACTTTTAAAAGGATAAAATTTACGAATGAATAAGCCATCTCATCACCACCTTTGTCCGTCACCTCTTCACCAGTTAGGACTTAGGAAAAACAAACTAATTATTCAATCAAAAAATATTTTAGATCAAAATCAAACCTTTTAGAATATGCTCGATTTTGCAAATCCCTTATTTTGAAATAATTTTTTTGGCCAGTCCACGAACAATGCATAATGTATAGACAATTTACTGGCGAAAAGATTGGCCAATCCTCTTCTTAAGAATTCGGCCCTATTTCTGCCTGCTACTTAAGTATAGGCACCTAAAAGTAAGAATGATACCAGCACAACCCTAATACCTAAAATAATAACAAATACATCATAGTACATACTTTTTGTTAAAAAATAAACTTACTTTAAGATCCATCTTCAGAGACTCGCCTTGTTTGGTTTAGCACATCAGTTTCAGAGGAGCACAATACAATATGTAGGTACCTACCTACCAAGTACCACACAAAAAAAAACACTCCAAGAAACACATAGGATGATATCTATAATTAAAATTATTTTTGGGCGGATGTAATTTCGACCGGAATATGTACAGGTACTTAAAGGGGACATGTAAATTCGACCAGAGGTTTAAGGGTTCGATCTTATGTTATGAGTATTTTCGACCCAAAGGAGCAGGTAGGTATAATAAAATATAATGATAATGATGTATAAAAGCTTCTTTATTAAACTAAAATCAAAGACAAAATTGCTGTCGAGAAAAAGGAGAACGTGTACAGGGTATTTGATTATATTTGGCACCATACCTACAGCCTTTACTATTTAAGATAGAAAAAAATTGTAAATACAAAACTTGACAGTTTTTTTCTATATTTTCTTTTAACGTTATCAGAAAAAAAAAATCGCATCGGAAAATCTCCATTTCAACAACTTCGACTTTTTTAAATGGAATACCCTGTATATTTTGCGATAAAATGAAAGACCTTTTCTTCCTGATTACTGATTACAAATATATATATGTTGATCACATTTGCATGAGCCATTTTTGACATATCTCAGCTTAAATTATAACTAAATTGCAAAGAAATTTTATAAAGATAGAGATCCTTATGGAACTTTTCTGCAAATTCTTTATAATTTAACCTGAGATATGTCAAAAATTGCTCAAGCAAATGTTATCAATATATATATATATATATTTGGAATCAGAAAGAATAGATCTTTCATTTTATCGCATAATATACAGGGTGGTCCATTAAAAAAGTCGAAGTTGCTTACGTTTCTCCATTTTCCGATGCGATTTTGTTTCTTCTCATAACGTTATCAGAAAATACAGAAAAAAACTGTCAAGTTTTGTATTTAAATTTTTTTTCTATCTTAAATAGTAAAGGCTGTAGATATGGTGCCAAATATAATCAAATACCCTGTACAACTCAAATAAGGGGAATATAGTGCCCATTTTCCAGTCTATGAATGGTAAATAATTGATAAAAGTACTTCGTACAGAAAGAAAATGTGCTATCCATGTATATAACATCCATTTCACACAAAGTTTGTATGGCAAGAAAATACAATGATATTTTCTGCTGAACTATTGATAAACAAAAAATTTTCACCCGTTGTCATTTTTAGAGAATACATGTCAACTACAGTATGTACTTCATGAATATCTTTAGGCAGGGCTGGCAAGATCTTACGACGACTATTATAGACATTTCTTCTTATAAGATTTATATCCATGGCCAGCAATTCCTCCGGTAAATTTGTTGAAAGGACGCTTTTTATAATCTTCGAAGGTTTTTCCGATATCTCTTCCTGGGCTTTTCTCTTGCATGAAGCTGTAACAATTTTTCTCTGCAAAGAACCCTCGGTCGAAATTACTTATGTCAATAAATGTGCCTCTTGCTTTGGGCAGGTAGGCGAGGGGATTACCGGTCGAAATTACGTCCGCCGATTATTTTTATAGCATAAAATAACCTATATTTTACCCAATTTTACCTAATAAAAATCCAGAAACACCGATGTTTACACAGCAGGCCTGACCTAACCTAACCTCTAACCTGAATTTAAACAAATCTGCGGCGTTGTACGAAAATAATGAAAGTGATAGGTACGTCCTTTGGGACGTATCAAGCATGTTGTACCTAACAACATTAAAAACGTTATATTACCAAACAAGTTAGTTTCGAATTTGCAACGTTTACTTCGAAACGAAACGAAAATATAGAACAGAAAACATCACAAACATGGTCATCACGTGAAACGTAGCAAGAATGTAAATAATATACTGTCCATATAACGTTAAATACTCAACGTTGCTAGGGTAAACATCTATTTCACGTTATTGGAACGTTGGTTTTACAACAGAACCAATACAATTGCAAAATAACGTTCTGAAAACAGGAATATGCAAAACCTTTTGAAAAGTAGTAACAAATATGACTTTACTACGTTACATAAAAAACGTTCATTGAGTTTCATTTTAAAAACGTTACAAAACATCCCAAGTATGTTTCTTGCCCAGTGGGTAGGTTTGTATGTTCCTGTAAAGTTGCCAAATTTTCATAAACAAATTTTAAACAGTGGCGTAGTTACGAACCTCTTTCTAAAACGGTGCATAAAAGTCGTTGCCGAACCCATTTGTTTGACCCATATTTAAGCCAATACGTTCCAAATTGCTTGATATTTCTTTTTCATCCTTAAACTTAACAACATCGAAACCGAATTTGGCTCTAATATGTCGTTTCTATCATGGTTTAAAAGATGAATGAAACCGGTTATAAATATAAAAGTTAGAAAAACACTAGGAAAACTGATCTTGAACTGCTTTCGTCTCATTTATGGAGCGTCAAATCAAAAATAAGTTTCATATTTTCTTAATTTTTCGTAATTTTCATAATTCGATAATTTCATCGATTTTAGCAAAAAAATATTTTTTGTATTTTCTTAGTAGGTATTCTCTTTTGTTTTGAACTCTGTATATTGTTTCCATTATTTATTCGCATAAGGATTCTTCAGACTTCCCAGTGATTTATTTAATAAAAAATGAAAATTCATTTAAACAGGAAAAAATACAGAAAATTATTTTTTGTGTAGGAGGCTCTGATTTTATATTTTGACGTAAAATTGAATTCAAAACAACTTTTTTTAAATACATTTTGCATATCTTTTAAAAAGGGGTACTTTATTCCTACAATAGTACCTAAACCAATTTTATATTTTTTTATGACCTTGTACATTACATCTGTAATATTTCCACAGTTTTGGACTTTCCAGGGTATGCAAAACTTTTCATGAAGGATAGCTTTTTTTGCTCAAGTCGATAATAAAAAAGTTTTTCATATGGTGCCATTATTTTCGCACAAGCTGTATAACATCGTTAAACAAACTTTAGACAAGCTTCAAATACATTTTAAAAATTAATAAACTAGTTTTGTTTTAAACGTTTTATGCACAAAAAAAAATCATAAAACATAACTTAACACTTTTTCCATATTTTAAGGGGTTTCTGGCCCACAGTGCGGCGGAGGAATAGACACTACGTCGCGGCGGCCGCTTAGTCTTTTTGCTGCTAAATATCCACCGAAAGTTACCTGGAGAAAAAATATTTTTTTTCATTTGGTGCTGTTCTGTTGAGTGACAGTAAACGGAAAAGGTATTTATGTAAGAGCTGCTTACATTCGCCTAACCAATTTGAGAAAATGAAAAAAATAAATAAAAATTACATCGGGTAGGTGCTAAAAAGTAAGAGACAATGAATTCTTTGTAATTTGTGACAATACAGCTTATTTGAATTGAAAAACATCCAGTGGAGTAATCCAGGGCAACAACAAAGTACAGACCTTTCCATCTTACGAAAAGAGCCAATTTAAAATTTCTCTCGACAGGTCGTCGATACAACAAATAAGTCCTTAAGTTACAGGAAAAAATTTGAAAACTTTTGAATTTTTTTAGATATTTGACGTTTCATATTTCTATCTTTTATAGTTTCTTGGTTACGTAAATACTCTATCAATATACAGTCCCAGACAGGAGTGTGTTGTACGTATTTTTTTTTTCGGTGCAGCATTCTTACCTTTCTTCGTGGTGGAAGTGGTTGTAAGGGCGGCGGAGGACTAAACACTACGTAACGGCGATCGCGTAGTCTTTTGCTTGTTAGATTTGCACTGAAAGTAACCTGAAGAAAAAATGTTTTATTTCTTTCAGTGCTTTTCTGTTGAGTGACAGTAAACAGATAATTTATTAATATAAAATCTCCTTACATTCGCCTAATCAATTTGAGAAAATGAAAAAAAAAATATATATATATATATCGGGTAGGTACAATAGTTTCAAATCCTTGAGTTACTGGAAAAAAATTGAAAACTTTTGAATTTTGTTAGATATTTGATATGCTTAACGACCCAACATTTCATATTTCCATCTTTAATAGTTTCTTGGTTACGTAGATACTCTATCAATGAAAGAAAAAAAGGCATACAATCCCAGGCATGAGTTTGTTGTACCTACCTATTTTTTTTTGGGCAGCAGTCTTACCTTTATTCGTGGTGTCAGTGAAATTCTATTGTTCTGTTCTGAGGACGGCGAGGGAGTAAACACTACCTCGCGGCGATCGCTTAGTCGTTTTCCTATTGAATTTCCACCGAAAGTAACCTAAAGAAAAAAATATTTTATTTCTTTTCTTTCGGTGCTTTTCTGTTGATTGACAATAGACAGATAAGGTATTTATATAGTTTAGTTTTAGTTTAGTTTTGCTTTTATTTGATCTGTATAAAAAAAACATAAATTTTTTACCCTTACAGGCGTAGATCACGTCAAAATAAAAATACTACATGCAACTATAACTAAAATCTTATAAATTCTAATACTATAAATTGGACAGAACCTTCACTTACATATTTCGATAAAATTCAATTTATTGTTTTGGTATACCTACATACATTCACAAATACGAAATAATACGATGATTAATGAGCCTAACATAAGAGTAAATGACAGAAATGAAAAAATACAATATAAAAGACAAACGTGATGTGGACAAACTATAAGAGAATAAAAGAACTTTTGGATAAGGCTTTGGTCAGGTACTTTTGTATTTGTTTTATTCTGTATTTTGATCTGTATATAAGAGCTGCTTGTTGAAGTCGGCAATTATGCAAGGATGTTTCTGTGATCTGTGAGTAGCAACCTAAAGACAATAGTAATATAACGGACGCGCATCCGCCAGGCTGTCGAGAATCCTAGAACCTAGAATCTAGTGAATTCTGCTTTATTCGGGCATCGGATTATCGTGTTTATTCAGGATCACGAATAGATTGCGGATATATAAAGGCTGGTATTAGTTAGTAGTTTTAAGTTTAAGTTTGGCTGTTATACGATTTAGATAGTGAATATTGTTAAAAGTTGTAAAGAGTTAAGTTGTTTTGAGTTGATTAGTGAAGTAATTAGTATCAGAATGTATAGTTACTTGGAATAAATTATTGCTGTGTTAATTGGACTTTGATTTTGGAATAAACGAACCCAAGATTTATGTCACGCATACTAGAGCCGTGACAGTATGTATGTCATGTCACTCATGTTATGTGTTATGCGAACAGTAATCGTTTTTGTATTGTACCGAGTTGTACGTAATATATTAGTCAGTTAAAGCCTAATCTGTGTCAGTATTTCCCAAACAACAACAGGTTATGAGCCCCAGTAGCGTGTAACGGCCAGGAAAACTGAGAATCGGAAGGAAATGGCGGAAAAGTTGAAGATCAATATACACGAAAATCGGGAAAACGACAAGAAGAACTGTTAGCAGGAAAAGTAGGTGAAAAATAGAAACAATGTCAGTATCAAGTAGCGGTCAAATCAGTGTGAGGCCATTTGAGGGTCAAAGTTTGGGAAACTGGGAGTTCCGCATCAAGCTCCTTCTAGACTACCATGACGTGTTGGGAATGCTGGAGCAAGATCCATCCACGGATTCGACATCGTTAGCAGCCTGGAAAAAGAAGGATTTGAGAGCCAGAAACTTGCCAGTGCAGTGTTTAGGGGATAATATCCTGGAAATGATGTACGGCTAAGAAAATCATGGGAACACTCTGTAAAACCTACAAGAAAAGTGGGCTTGCTAATCAAGTTCAGTTGCAAAGCAGACTGAGGAGTATGAAGTATATGGGAAAATGGTGAGTCATTGAATGATTTTATTGTTGATTTCAAAAAAACAATAATGGAATTGAAAAATTGTGGTGGCTCGATCAATGTCACAGAATTTATTATAACTCAGTTGTTAGCAGCAATGCTGGAGACATATCAGACAGTGGCAACGGCATTGGATATTTAAAGTTCACCTTACGAGTCTAACACTATGGAAAAAATGCGGATAAAAAAATTGCAATATTGCCTATTTGACTTCCAATAGAAAATACCTTAATATTTATCTATGTTACACACCTACATTTATAAGGAAAAAGTAATATTTAAAAACGGTGCGCGCCCGCCTATGACAGGCAGCATGAAGCTTGAAATGAATGGCGTTATTCCCCCTTGCTCTTCAGACGTTGTAGTGCTAGACTCGTAAGGCGAACTTTACTTTTGTCAGAACTAAGCTTCAGTGGCTTTGGAATTTGTGAAAAGTCGCTTGCTGATGGAAGAAGATACACAAAAGAAGGTAACAAGTGAACCAAACTAGAGTAATGCATTTTTAGGATATAAAAAGAAAAAACAAGGAATGAAATTTCCTTTCAAGTGTTATTTTTGTGAAATGAAAGATCACAAAAAGGCAGAATTCCCCAAACGTAGAGAAAACCAAACAAGAAGTAGTGCCCTTGTCACAGAAGAAGAAGAAGAAATTGCATTTTTAACATCTTTGACAAGTAGTTGTGAGACCTCTAAGGAAAAATTAGATTTTAGAGTGGATATAGTGGTGCCTCAAACCACTTAATTACAGAGAAGATGGGAAACTATTTAGTGGAAACTAGAAAAATGGATCATGCTATAAAAATAGTTAAGGAAGGGATCATAGTTCAAGCACATTTGCAACGAACTTTGTATTTGCACAGTGAAAATAGTAGAAATATTGAGTTAACGAATGTTTTGATGTGCAAAAATCTCTTCCACAATTTGATTTCTGTTGAAAAAGTCGCATCGAAAGGTTTTCGGAAATGCAGAGATTAAAGTGACAATACTGAAATTGTCAAAGGAAAGCTGAAGGCCAATCCTCACGTTTTAAGTTTCAGTCAACAGGAAACGCTGGTAAATGTAGCAGCAGAAGAAAGATCTGTGGCATAAACGAATGGGACATTCAAGTTTATATACTTGTTCAGAAATTAGTGACGTATTCCAGAAAGGTAAACAGAGGAAAATTTTTAAACCTTTGACAGAAGGAAGAAAAGCAAAGAAAATTATGGAGATAATTTATAGCGATGTTTGTAGTCCTATTAACCCAATCACAGATGATGGTAATTTTATTACATTCATATACCATATTATTCGCATTTTTCAGTTGTATATTTTATGGTCAATAAGAGTGAGGCATGCAGCAAATTCAGAGAGTACTTGTCGATGATGGAAAACAAATTTAAGTGTGTGTTAAAAAGAATGCGATTAGATAATGGTGAAGAATATCTTTCACAAGAGTTCAAGAGTTTATGTAGTCAAAAAGGAATCAAAGTGGAATATACCATACCAAAGGACACCTGAGCAGAATGGGGTAGCGGAGAGGTATAATAGAACATTGTTGGACAAATCTAGGTGCTTAATTTTTGAATCAATAAAAGTTTTGGAAAGAAGCAGTTGCCACTACAGCCTATTTAACCAATAGAACTCCCACCTCTGCACTACCACAGAACAAACCCCTGTAAAAATATGGTATGGGTATAAATCAAATTTTGATGAAATTCGCATTTTTGGATTTGAATCATACGTACATGTTCCAGAGGAATATCGGAATGGTGAACTCGATGAGAGGTCAAGAAAAATGTATCTTGTGGGCTATACAGATAATGGCTACCGAATGTGGGATCCCCGGAGACAAAAGATGATCACACCTAGAAATGTTGTTTTCAAGGAAAAAACAAAAAAACAGAATAAGAAGTTTATAGAGAAGTCATAAATTGGGATGATAATCAAGAAATAGAGAGTGATGTTGAGGATGATAATGAAAATGCAGAAAATCCGGAAAGGTACGAAACAACTCCAAGAGGTACTCCGAGAATATTACCAAGGGGTACACCACAAAGATCAGTTCGAGAGAGGCAGTTGCCAAAAAGACTGCAAGATGATTACTATTCTGATCGGATGGCAGTCTTATCAGTAGGAAGTTTTGTCGAAGGTATACCACAAACCCACAACCACAAAGAAGTGTTGGAAATGGATAGGAGCTGGCGAGAAGCAATTTAAGAAGAGTTGAGTGCACATAAGCAAAATGAGACTTGTATGTATGTAGTGGAAAAATGAGATGGAGGTGATAAATTCACAATGGATTTTTAATGAGAAGGAAAGGAATGGAGAAATAATTAAAAAGGCAAGATTAGTGGCACGTGGTTTCATACAAAGTGATCTGCAAGAAGATGTATATTCCCCTCTGTCACTCGGATGTTTACAATTAGAGTGCTATTGGCATTAGGTGTACAGTGAGGTTTAAAAATTCATCAACTGGATGTACGCTGTGCATTTTTAAATGGTATTTTGAAAGACTCAGTGTACATGGAAGTTCCAGATGAAATTGAAAATGTGAAACGAAATTATGTATGTAACTTGCGAAAAGCATTATATGGACTTAGGCAGTCACCTAAGTGTTGGTATGACCGGTTACATCAAAATTTGGTAAGCATAAATTTTAATAGATCTCAAGCAGATCCATGTCTGTATTTTTGTGAAGATGTGTTTTCACTCATTCATGTTGACGACTTGATTTTACTTTCAGATTCAGAGAAAAAGTTAAATAAAATCAAAAGTGAATTAATGAGAATGTTTGAATGCGAGATCTAACTAATGAGAGTAACATGAGATTTTTTAGTTTTAAATATCTCAAGAACTAAAGATCAACTTTTCATTAACCAGAAATAATTAATTCAGAAAATTTTGACAGTTTTTAACATGAACGAGGCAAAAACAAGGGGATTCCTATTTAGCCAAATTTAATTCTTAGTTTAGAGACAGTAAATCAGGAAAATTCAGAAAGATTTCCTTATAGACAGTTATTGGGTATCCTATGTATTTGATGTTGGGCTCTAGGCCAGATTTAAGTTTTTCAGAAACATATTTTAGTATTTTTCAAAAGAATTTTAGTTCTGAGCATCGGCAATATCTGAAACATGTTTTGCGATATTTGAGAAGCACAGAAAATTTCCGATTAAAATTTTGTAAATATGACAGAAATTTTGAAAATGTTCTAGTAGGATATGTTAATATAGATTTTGCTAACTCTACACTTGATAGAAAAAGTATTAGTGGTTTCATCATAAAGTTGTATGATAACGTTATATTTTGGAAAACAAAGAAGCAAACAACGGTTTCTCTGTCAAGGGCAGAAGCAGACTATGTCGCTTTGTCATCGTGTCACCGAATGTATTTCGAGGACAAAGCATATAGACATACGTCATCATTTTCCGAGAGACTGTGTCATGAATAAACAGATTATTTTGAAATATATCTACAGAAAACCAAGTGGCAGATATCTTTACAAAAGTTTTGAATGAAATTAAATTTAAAAGATTTTGTGACATGTTGAGTTTGATAGAAATTAATCTGTAGGTAGCTAGTACTTGTAGTTCAGTAAAATTATTATGTATTTGGTTTATGGTATAGCACAGGTTTATACTTGAGATTATTTTTGAAAAGTATTTTCTCAAGTTTTTTTAAATAATGTGAAGTATTTTACTGAGATTTTCAGTTTGTAACATTGCAAAATTGGAAGAGGGTGTTGAAGTAGGCATTTATGCAAGGATGTTTTTATGAGTAGCAACCACTGTAGCAACCTAAAAAACAAGAATATGTCATGTCACTCATATTATGTATTATGCGAACAGTAATCGTTTTTGTACTGTATCCGATTTGTATGTAATATATTAGGCAATTAGAGCCTAATCTGTGTCTGTATTTCCTAAACAACAACACTGCTTACATTCGCCTAATCAATTTCAGAAAATGACAAAAAAAAATCACATCGGGTACATTAGTTGTTACTGGAAAAAAATTGAAAACTTTCGAATTTTTTTTAGATATTTGACGTTTCATATTTTATCTTTTATAGTTTCTTGGTTACGTAAATACTCTATCAATGAAAGAAAAACAGGTTGTTTCATGAGCAGAAAGTATACAATCTCAGACATGAGTGTCTTGTACTTCCTTTTTTTTTTTTTGGTGCAGCATTCTTACCGTTCTTTGTGGTAATGGTAGAGTTGGTTGTAAAGGCGGCGGAGTAGACACTACATCGTGGCGGTCGCTCAATATGTTGCCTGTTGAATTTTCAACGACATCACCCTGAAGAAAAAAATATTTGATTTCATTTGTTGCCCCAGACAGTACACAAATTCTTAAAGATGTCTTTTTTAGGTCTGCATTACGTCTGAAGATCAGAAAAAAGACATCTAGACGCATCGAGCTTCTCGAAGACGTTGTTTTGAAGATGCCCATGAGAAGACGTTGGGTTTTGTAACATACGACGTCTTCAAGATGTTTTTAAGACGCATTAAAGACATTAACGTCTTGAGGACGTCTCTAGGATGTTCACAAAAATTTACAACCGAATTCGTTTCTCATTCAATTTAGAAATTACTGGAAACCATTTAGAATAATACAGAACACTTTGGAAATTTAATAAGCCTCTTGGAAAGTTCAAAACATTTGAAATTCAATTCAGAATTTCCAAAAGCATTCCTGTAGCGGCTGTAGCGCTTCAGAACATTTTGGAAATTTCTGAACCATTTTAGAATGTCTCAAAACATTCAAAAACCGATTTACACTTTCCAAAAGTATTTTAGAACAATTCAGAAACCTATTTTAGGACGCTCCAAAACACTCAAACACTCTAGAATCTCCAGAAACATTTTGAAAAACGCCAGAATGTTAGGGTTCAGGTTAAAAGTTACAAAACGCCTTTCAGAAGGGTCAGTCAAGTTTGCCCCCTGTGCCGCCCCGATCTTAAAACAAACTATGTCATAATTTTGCACAACCCAAACCAAATTTTGCACACCGTCCTCCGAGAGAATACAGCCGATTTTCAGATGGGGACAAACTTGACGGGTCCCTCTCAACTCAATAATTCTTTTACTGTTAGATTCTACTAATTTTGCAAAATTTTGCATACTAATTTTCAAATTTTGCACACCTCTGTGGAGAGAGTTATCGACCATCAAAAAATCACTATTTCTCCCATGACCTCAACTAAATTTAATAATTCTTTTACTGTTAGATTCTCCTAATTTTGCACAATTTGGCACACTAATTTTCATATATTGCACAACTTAGTGGAGAGAGTTATCGACCATGACAAAATAAATACACTTTCCTCCTCGACCTCAACCAACCCTAATAATTATTTTATTTACAATCATACATGTAATGTTGACTTTTCTGACTTTTAAACTGTCACTTTTTCGACTTTTATTTTCCACCCACGGGTTGAAAGTTTACTTTCCTCCCGTGGGCCGAAAGTAAATGAAATTGTTTTTTTTTTTTTTTAGTCAAATAAGAATTACAAAATTCGAATGATTGTAAATAAAATAGTATACATACCGAGGTGGAAAGTATTTCATTACTGTCGAGAGATTTTAGTCTAAGATCCCATCCAATAAAATCTGACGTTTCGTCTTTGGGCCACAATCATCAACTCTATTTTTTTAAGTAAAGCGATTGATTTTCTATCTCAGATTTTTAGAGCTGCTGATGTCCCAAAACCTATGACGCATCGCATTTATTCGAAAAAATATTTTTTTACTTTTCAGTAATTTCCTACCAAAGTTCTTTTTTTTGTCTCTCTCTCACACATTAAGTTCTTATGAAAAGTGCCAATAATATAAATTTTTCGAATAAGTGCAATAGGTCATTGGTTTTGGGACATTCTTATAAAATTTAAAATAAAAAATAAGGGTCCGTATTTAAGAAAATGAAGTTGATGATGGTGGCCCAAAGACGAAACGTCAGATTTTAAATTTGATAGTACCATCTTGTAGATGAGAAAAAATGGCAACGATGAAGTGACATTTATTTTGCGATATCATTTCAAATAGAGTCAGAAAAAAATAAAAACGATTTCAGCAAAATTCGTTTTTTTATAGATATCTTCGGAATTATTCGGAATTTACAAAATATCAAAACATGGCGCTACTGAGCTCAGTAATGCGCAACTTTTTCCAAATTAAACCAACCCTATATCTCTTATGGTTACGGAGATCCCTGTAGAGTGCATCCTTATCCGGATTCTACTCAAGATGCTATTATAAACTCTTTAAGCACTACTATAAATAATCTAGACAATAAAAAACTAACAGCAATTTTATACTTTGATTACAGTAAAGCATTTGAGATGGTTAACCACAAGTTGCTGCTGGGAAACTTGAACAACCTGGGGGTGAGGGGCATGGAGTGGCTCTGCTCGTATCTATGGGGTCGCCAGCAGATTGTTACATTATCAAAAGATAGAATAAAATATACATCTGATCTCCAAGATGTTACAAGTGGTGTACCTCAAGGGAGTGTCCTGGGCCCCTACTATTCACAATTTTTTTTTTATATGATGTTATTGACAGAAATGCAGCTATGACTATCTTCGCAGACGATATGACAACTGTGGTGTCAGCTGGTGATCTGAGGGATCTGAGTGTGAGAGCAAGTAATGCAGTGGGCCATGTAGTTAAATATGCAAATATCAACAAGTTTTACGTCCTAATGTACCCTTTTTAAATCGAGTTTGGTACAAATTTCGTTTTCAAATTAAATTTTTACTAAAAAAAAAAATAATAATTACCTACATAAAAAAACAAAAATGTTTGAACAAAAATTAAGAAAAATATAGTAGTGTAGGTATTACATCGTTGGATTCACTTTAAAATACTGCAAATAGTAATGTTATGAAAGTGATATGTTTCTTTTTCAGTTTTTGACCTAAGGCAAAAATACTAAAATAATGAAGTTTACAGCCATCTATCAAAAAAGTTTGTAGCGTAATTTTGGGGCGTATCCCAAAACCTAGCTAACAGGCTTACGGCAGCCAGTCTGGTCGGGTTCATCAGGACGTAGCGCTACAATAGCGATCAGCAGCAGTGTTGCCAAATTTTTACAATTGTGGCAAATTTTATCCCTGTTCTTCTCACCAAAAGGAAAAAAAGATGGAAAATGGTCCGAGCGCTCAATGTTTCAAGCGGAACTCATTAATTTTAATAATTTTTGGTTAAATAAGTGAAAATATAATAGATTTATTGGAAATATAATAATGTAAATAATTAACCTTTGATAAATGTAATAGATTTGCTATATTTGTAATAAACTGGCAACACTGTTGATGATCGCTACTGTAGCGCTATGTCCTGATGAACTCGACCAGTGACTCTATTACCCACAGTGGCGACAATTGCTGTCTCATTTTTGATTGGTTCAAAAATCCCATATATTTATATTGAAAACGCCGCCATCTTGTTCCCAACCTCTTGTTACTTTTAAATATGAATATATGGGATTTAGGTGAACATCCATCATAAATCATGGAAAACACGTATTTGATGGACCTAATAATGGTCATCAAGTACGTACAATTTCAATTTTCTATGATAGATGTTCATTTAAATCCTATATATTAATATTTAAAGGTAACAAGAGGCTGGGAACAAGATGGCGGCGGGACCTCTATTGTCGCCACTGTATGTAAAGGTTTATTTAGCCACTGTAGTACACCTTTATCATGGGCGCCACCTAGTTAACTGAGTCTCAACTAGGAAGTTTCCTGAAATGATCTAAAGTACTGAACAGGAACAGTTGGAAAGTCTTTCAATAAAATAACAACATAACACTAAGAATCATCTATCAATAACAAATTGAAAGTAATACATTTCAATTACTTGAAGAGTAATTTAGAAAGTTTGAAGTTTAGAATTTAATATACTTAAAAAATATTGAGAATAATATTTAATTAATTATGAAGTCAACAATTCCAAGATGAAGTATCCAGTATTTATTTAAGTTTTCAATTTTAAATATCCTACTATCTGAAATGTTATAAGGGTAACTACACGGGTAATCGCTAGCAAATTTGAATGGACCAACTATAGTCAATTATCCTATTTTTATTGTAATATGCGCACGCAGGGGAAAATTTTCGGAACTTTGTTCTGCTGCAAAGGGTAACGCTACATTTAAGGAATGCTTAATAATCTATGTAAATAATTTGCTAAGACAATTGTACAAACGTGTAACTTACTCACATCCTTTATATAAAATAATCTTTATTGCATGTAAAAATTACCATACAAAGGTGGAAAGTACCGCCAGGCGTATTTTAATAACCACCCTTTGCTATATGTATACTTCTTAGATTATTAATCCAGATACTTCTTCTGAACTGTATTGAAATGGAGCACACTCTAGGATTCTCCTAGAGGCGTAGACGTCATTGCGTAGACTATTGTTCTAGGTTATGTATATGTAGGCCAAGGCCTAACCTCAAGGTTCTGACACCGGCTGTTTCTCGCCCAATCGAACCACAAACTTCAATGAAACCTGACCCAGGACGATGCACGCACTGACCAACCAGAGGTCAGTGCCAACCAGGCAGTAAACTTGGAGCCTAAACTAGGTCTCAAAACCGGACCTAAGAACTGGATCCAAAACTGGTTCCAAAACCGGTCCTAAAAACCCTGTAACCACAGTTGGTATAAGGGTAAATAAGTCGTTAAAATATGAATAAGCCTTACCTCAACGAGGATTACAAAACGGAATAGGTATAGACGAATCCTCAGAGGGAACCAACTAATTTTCGTACCTTGAAAATAAAAGAGCACATGTTTTTGGGGCAAGAAAATACGTTTTAAGAAGAAAGCAACTTACCACTTTCTCAAGAAAAAGTCGAGCCTATAGAGAGCCCATCAAAATATCAAATTTTCTTATGATAAGGTCTGAAAGGCACGGCTCAATTTGCTTAGCTCAAATCGTGACTTGCTTTCGCCATTGCCAGCAGGAAAGAGCAAAGGGCCCACGAGGAAGATTTTCTGCTTCCTTCCGAAAACGCAAAATTCGTAAATTCGAGAAGGGATGATTGATTGACACCACAGGTGTGTTCGCGAATTTAACACTAACCGGTCCTTTCGTTCAGGCTGTACCGAACTACCTTGGAACCTGGTTGGAGCGAAGGAACAACCTTCTGAAAACGCCCAGAAGAAAATGTCAAAGTACCCCAAAAAAGAAGAAGGATGTTCAAATTCGATATGTCAAAAAACAAATAACCTAAAATTAGAAAAAAAGTAAATAATGAATTTTCGCACTCGGAAAAATCAGGATAACCACAAACATTTATCAATGAGGGACACTACAAAACCAAGGGACACTGTAGCACAAGATAGCTCATAAGGTAAGCCAGAATCAATGAGAGAACATCTTAGCCGAATATGCACCAGGCCCTAGCTACCCCAAGTCTATTCCTTTTTATTTAGATCTTCAATATAGATAGAAAGCGGCCGTCAATCCATCCATAAAAAGAATTAGTGAGAAGATATATATGACAAAATACTATGTTCGAAATTAGGATCCACAAAGAACTTGGGCAACCGAAGCCTACAGCTTCATGTTGCAAAATAGAACTTTTGTTATACTAGATATTTAATAGAGTATGGATTATATTAAAAATATGAAATTCAGGTAGTATCACATCACAAAAGTTCAATAGTTTGTACTATATTTTCCTCGCAGGAAACTGTCTGAATGACCAAAAATCTATAACCGATACACAGAAACATTAACCCAATAATAGTAGTGTTTTTAGAGCAAAAATCTAAAAATGCTACAAGTTTACAAAGATAAAATTGAGTTTGTATTCTCCTGAAATTAAATATGTACAGTATGTAGTCATTTTGGGATGATCATGGCACTCTAGTTAGAAAATTAAAATTTTATTTAAATACAAAATTTGGACAAAAATCGATTCAAAAGTGGTGCATTAGGACGTAAAACGATCCTCAGTATCCGAGAAACAAAAAATATACAAGGTGTGCCATTTGAAAATCAAAAGTTCCGACCATTTCCGGTGAAACCGGAAGTCGGGAAAACTTGACATGGATGCATAAAAATGAAGTTAGAATATCAACCCTACCAAGTTTTTGTTGATATCGATAGACAAATAAAAAAATGGCAACCGGAAAGTAATCTCGTGGGCACCCGGTATATTGAACTGTTGTATCGATGTCTATAAGAATAAGAGTAAATGGAAGACTTCTGGAGAGGTTGCTTGGGGTTATTCTCTGAGAAACCCTGATTCAATGAGGTTACCAAATCATAGACTGAAAAAAACAGCCATGAGTTGTTATGTTTTACCAGTAAAAAGGACCCCGCAATATTTAAACGGAAATTGGTTACCCGTGATATTTGGATGAAATTTAAATATGTTATTAAAAATGCTGTAAGCAACATTTTTATCATGGGCGCAACCTTGTATATATGACAGGTGAGGCGGTATCGTCTGTCAAATATTGCAATTTGAACGAGAATTTAATATTCAAAAGCAGGGTAATTATCGCATATTTTGATGAAGAAAATATCGATTCCTACTAAGTCGACCAAGATAAATCGGAAAATGTCAACTATTTTGAAATCTGTCAAAACCTTGCCAAACGGCAGCTCTCATATTTTTTAGTTTTCAATATTTCATGATGTTTCATTTGATAGTTTTAGCTTATGTAAATTCTGAGTTAAAAATTGGAAAAAAAATTACAGAACTGTCAAAACCTGTCATTTATTTTAGTGGGAAAAATAATCATATCTGGTTCTTTCTTGTTTTAAGGTAATTTATTGGCAATAGAACATCATAAGCAAAGCTCATCGACATCAAATTTTGACAGCATAACTTAAATAATTGAAACATAACTAGAGTTCAGTTTTTATTTTTTCAATTAAAGCTAATGTCAGATTCTGACAGCTGTCAAAATTTGATGTCTATGAGCTTTGTTTAATGTTCTATCACCAACCTTCAAATGAAAAAGAGCCAAATTGGAGTCTTTTTTTTACTAAAACAAATGATAGGTTTTGACAGTTCTGTAATTTTTTTTTTTTCAATTTTTGAATTCAGAATTTACATAGGTTGAAACTGTCAAATGACACATCATGAAATATTGAAAACTGAAAAATATTAGTGCTGGCAGGGTTTTGACAGATGTCAGAATGGTTGACGTTTTTCGATTTTCCTTAGTCGACTTATTAGGAATCGATATTTGCTTTATCAAAATCTGCCATAGTTACCCTGCATTTGAATATTGGATCCCAATATTTGACAGCTGATAACGCCTCAACTGTCATATATACAAGGTTGCACCCATGGTAAAAAATGTTGCTTACAGTATTTTTGATAACATATTTAAATTTCATTCAAATATCACGGGTAACCAATTTCCGTTTAAATATTGCAGGGTCCTTTACAATCATCTTTAACAAGATATTAAAACTTTAAAAAGTATGAATATTTTTAAACAAAAAATTGCTATTAAATCACTATTTCTATTCTATAAAGGAATATTTTGATATTAGGTTTTAAAGTATATGTTTGTATTGATATCTATCTACTTGGAGTCGTTTAAATTGTTATATTTTATTTTTATAGTGATGACGAAACAAATATTGTTAAGAGCAGTCTGTATTATGAATCGATGAGTAAATAAATAAATAAATAAATTGCTGTAGAACTTTACACCTTCAATAAGCGTCCAAAACAATTATTCAAATCTAAATCAGAATTTTCAGGAGCATTTTAAATCAACTGAAAATCTTCAGAGTTATTTTAGAACAATTAGGATTCAATTTAGAGCTGGAAACCTTTCAGAACCTTTTTGAACCAATTTAGAACACTTTAGAGCTTCAATAGGGCTCTTAAATATCTAAACATCTGTCAGAACAATTTAGAAATTACTGAAAAACTTTTAAAATGTTCCAAATTTCTTCAAACCAATAAGTCATTTAGAACATTCCAAAACACTTTCCAGCAGAATTTTTTTATAGTTTTTTGGTTATTAACCAATCTTTTACTGTTGATGAATAAAACAATCATTGACTGGGTAGGTAGGCACTGAATCAATAAAAAAAAGACAGGTTGTTTCATGGACAGAAAGCATACAATTTCAGACACAAGTGTGTTGTATTTATTCGTTTTTTGGTGCAACATTCTTACCTTTTCTGGCGATAGCAAGGACAAGAGCGGCGATAACAGTGGGGGAGAAGTAGACATTCCGTCGCTGCGGCCGCTAAACATTTGGTCCACTGCATTTTGAATTAGCATATCCTGAAGAAAAAATATTTTATTTAATTTGGCGTTTTTCTGTTGAGTAGTAACTTACATTCGCCTAGTCAATTAAAAAAATTAAAAAAGAACTTTTCAAATCCTTAAGTTATTGGAAAAAATTTGAAAACTTTTGAATTTTTTTAGATATTAAATTACTGACCTAAAAATAAGTAAACCAATCTTTTACTGTTGATGAGTAAACACCAACCATTGAATGGGTAAGTGGGTACCTACTCTATCAATGAAATAAAAACTGGTTATTTCATGAGCAGAAAGCATACAATAATCCCAGATACGAGTGTGTTGTAACTATTCCTCTTTCGGTGCAGTATTCTTACCTTTTCTGGCGATAAATCAGGCGGAGGAGTGGACAATACGTCGTGGCGGTCGTTTAATATGTTGCCTGTTGAATTTTCAACGACAAAACCCTGAAGAAAAAAACTTGATTTCATTTTCTGCCCCAGACAGCACACAAAGTCTTAAAGACGTCTTTTTTAGGTCTGCATAACCTGTCTGCAAGCCTGGGACTATAAGTGCTGTACAAATGAAAACAAACTACTACAATTAACCATCTTTCCAACTCTTTCAGTGCCTAAAAGAAGACTTCTCTTAGGATGACTAAGCAGAAAATCAAACAAATGTTCCTGGTAAGATGTAGAAAACTGCAACTGATTGCAAATTTTATCAAGATAAAGAGAACTTTCAACTTTCATAAAAACAAATAAATTTCCGAACAACAAAAAATCTTAAACTACCTACTATTTTGGGCTTTTCGATATGTATTTGCATAAGGGAATCTTTTTCACACTGCAATTTCTTGAAAAAACAATTAAACCTATACACTCATAAAATTAAAACCAATACCGACAAGAAGCAGTATTATGCTTCTTCCCTATTCGGAAAACAAAAATTATACAGGGTGTCCACTTAGTGCGATATCGGACGATATCTCCTTACAGGGTGATGCAAGAAAAAAATTTAAATTACAAAGTTGTTTGATACTCTAATATGAATTAGCTAAAAATATTTTTGAATATACAGGGTGCTCCGTTTATGGGGTATGCGACAGAACTTTGTTATTTTAAATGGAACACCCTATATGCGATTGCATATTTGGATTCTACGTAAAATTCTGAGCAGATTTCATGTGATATACCCTATACCTAAGTTCAACTGTTTTGGAAATATCGACAGTTGAAAATTGACTTTTTGCAACTTTGACAGGCTGTAAAATATCACAGATAGTTTGGTTTTACTATTCAGTTACGTCTTACATGTTGATGACGAGAAGATAAAAGTTGAAACTTTGATAAGTATGGTAGTAGGAGATTCCACATATAAATTGTTACGAGATTTGTGTCAACCGACCTTGCCCAAGGATAATAATTTCAACCAGCTGTCAGAATTATTGGAAAAGCAATTCAGTCCCAAAGTGTCTGTGTGGAGAGAGCGCATTAAATTTTAGGATTCACCGCAAAAACAGCACGAAACAATCAACGATTGGCTTGCTAAAATAAAAAGTTTGGCTGTAAATTCCGAAATTGGCAATACATTAGAAAATGTGTTGAAAGACAAATTAATATCAGGGCTAAAGCGTGGAAAATTGCTGGATAGATTGTATGAAGAAGAAATCACAAATAGTCTCAAAGAAATGGTTGAAATCGCAGTGAAGAAAGAAGCTAGTGACCACGAGGAACAAGTCAACCATTTTTCAAAATTCCCGCCAGATGGAAGTCGAGCTCCATGGCATGAACAAGGACGACGAGACCCCGGAGACGACGCAATAAGGCAAATAAATCAAGGACGACATTCCATTGCGCCACGGCCTGAGACAGCGCACAAAGAGAATAAAGAGCTGCACGGGGGCGGCCATCTTGGAAGATATGACAGTCGAAGGGTAAGCAATGATGGAACTCCGCAATATAAACAAAAAGGAAAGGGCAATATTCGTAAATTATGTGAGCATTGTGCATCAAAACATCATGGAAATTCTCAAGCCTACAGCCAAGCCAATCTTCCTCAAACTGTACCTACATTGAAAACTGTATGATTATCCAAAAACTGTACATAAGATTCCATTCATACTAACATGGAAAGGTTGAGGGAATAGTCGGAAACAGGAAAATACCAGTGGCGTACACTCGATCGACCTACGAACGAATGGAAAACCATACGAAAATATTCAAAACTGTATGATTATTCAAAAATTGTACAGGGTGTCCCAAATTCGAGGGTGACCATTGAGATATCGGAAACCATAAGAAATACGAGGTCGGTTAAAGTATGGCAAAATTGCGCAATTTTATGACTAATAAAATGCCATTTTGAAATTTGAAAAATTCCAAATACTTCCGAAGATATTCGGAAAATGCCGAAATTTTGCAAAATCATTTTTATTTCTTCCCGAGTCTATTTGAAGAGTAATTTTAAAATAAATGTCACTTTATCATTGTCACTTTTTCCCCTTTACAAGATGTTACTACCAAATCTCAGATTGGACGTTCCGTCTTTGGGTGGCCATCATCAGCTTCATTTTTTTAAATACGGACCTGGATTTTTTATTTCAGATTTTAAGAGCTTCTGATGTCCCAAAATCAATAAAGTGTCGCACTTATTCGAAAAATTTATATTATTGGCACTTTCCATAAGAACTTAATGTGTTAGAGAGAGACAGAGAAGAGAATTTTGGTGGGAAATTACTAAAAAGTAGAAAGAATATTTTTTCGAATAAATGCGAAAGGCTTTCGGACTTCAGAAGCTCTCAAAATCTGGAATAAAAAATCCAGGTCCGTATTTAAAAAAATTAAGCTGATGATGGCCGCCCAAAGACGAAACGTTAAATCTGAAATTTGGTAGCAACATCTTGTAAAGGGGAAAAAGTGACAACAGTGAAGTGACATTTATTTTAAAATTGCTTTTCAAATAGACTCAGGAAAAAATAAAAATGATTTTGCAAAATTTCGGTTTTTTCCGAATATCTTCGGAAATATTCCGAATTTTTAAAATTTCAAAACGGCATTTTATTGGTCATAAAATTGCGCAACTTTGCCATAATTTAACCGACCTCGTATCTCTTATGGTATCCGATATCTCAATGGTCACCCTCCAATTTGGTACACCCTGTACCTACATAGGAAACTGTATGATTATTCAAAAACTGTACATAGGATTGAATTCATACTAACATGGAAAGGTTGAGGGAATAGTCAGAAGAATTTTCAAAAGCGTTTCAAAGAATTCAGAAATTTTAAACTCATTTTAGGACGCTCCAAAACACTCAAAAACTCTAGATTCTCCAGAAACATTTTGAGAAACACCAGAATCTTAGGATTCAGGTTAAAAGTTCCAATACGCCTTTCAGAAGGCTTTTGAGAGCGAATTTAGATTGCTGTAGAACTTTAGACCTTCAATAAACATCCAAAATAGGCAAAGAATTTCTAGGTGGTTTGCCCCTTGCTATAATAGCTATTTGTGTATTAAGAGCGCAAAGTGGTACTTTGCTGATCGAAAGATATTGTTGACAATATCTTGAGATTGACAAAGCCACTTTTCGCTGGTAATCTACACATTTATTTTTCCTACTATCGCATTTTATAAAAAAATAATTCAAAGAAACCATTATTTCTGTGCAGTTCTAACAAGTTTCGTCGGGAAAAAAAATGGTCTAAAAAAAAAGTCGGGAAAAGAAAAGTCGGGGAAAAATATGGGCGGGAAAAAAAATGGTCGGGAAAAAAAATGTTTGATGAATAAAAAAGTCGAGAAAAAAAAACGTCTAGAAAAAAAAAGTCGGGAAAAAAAGACGGGAAAGAAAAATCGGGAAAAAAAGTCGGGAAAAAAAGTGGGTAAAAAAAAAGTCGGGAATAAAAAAAGTCGGGAAGAAAAAAGTCGGGAAGAAAAAATGGTCGGGGAAAAAAAAGTCGGGAAAAAAAATAATCGTGAAAAAAAGTGGTCGGGAATAAGAAAGTCGAGAAAAAAAAGCGTCGAGAAAAAAAAAGTCGGGAAAAAGAAAGTCGGGACAAAAGAAATTCGGAAAAAAAAGTCGAGAAAAAAAAGTCGGGAAAAAAACCGGGAAAAAAATTGTCGGAAAAAAAAAATTGTCGGCATAAAAAAGAGTCGGGAAAAACAATGGTCGGGAAAAGAAAAGTCGGGGAAAAATATGGGCGGGAAAAAAAGTCGGGAAAAAAAATGATCGGGAAAAAAAATGTTTGATGAATAACAAAGTCGAGAAAAAAAAGCGTCTAGAAAAAAAAAGTCAAGAAAAAAAGTCGGGAAAGAAAAATCGGGAAAAAAAGTCGGGAAAAAAAGTCTGGGAAAAAAAATGGTCGAGAAAAAAAAAGTCGGGAAAAAAAGTCGGTAAAACAAAAGTCGAGAATAAAAAAAGTCGGGAAGAAAAAAGTCGGGAAGAAAAAATGGTCGGGGAAAAAAAGTCGGGAAAAAGAAAGTCGGGACAAAAGAAATTCGGAAAAAAAAGTCGAGAAAAAAAAAGTCGGGAAAAAAAACCGGGAAAAAAATTGTCGGAAAAAAAAATTGTCGGGAAAAGATAAGTCGGGAAAAAAAATGGTTGGGAAAAAAAATGGTCGTGAAAAAAAAACAGTCCGGAAAAAAAAATGTTCGGGAAGAAAGAAATTCGGAAAAAAAAGACGAGAAAAAAAAAGGCGGGAAAAAAAATTCGGGAGAAAAAGTCGGGAAAAAGAATGGTCAGGAAAAAAAAATCGGGAAAAAAAATGGTTCTGAAAAAAAAATTGTCGGCAGAAAAAAGAGTCGGGAAAAACAATGGTCGGGAAAAAAATTGTCGGAAAAAAAAAGACCGGAAAAACAATGGTCGAGAAATAAAAAGTCGAGAGAAATAAATTCGGGAAAAATAGTCGGGAAAAAAAAGGACAAAAAAAAGTCGGGAAAAAAAAGCTGGAAAAAAAATAGGGCAACATTCTTACCTTTTCTGCCGATGGAAGTGATAAGCCTGGCGATAAGAGTGACGGTGAAGTGTCTACGTTGCTGCGGCAGCTCAGTATCTCGTCTATTGCATTCTGGACAAGAATAGCCTGAAGAAAAAATATTTTATTTCATTTGGTGCCTTTCTGTTGAGTAGTAGCTAAGAGCTGCTTACAATCGCTTAGTCAATTAAAAAAAAAAAAATACATTTCAAATCCTTAAGTTATTGGAAAAAAATTGCAAAGTAAATTAATCGTTTACTGTTGATGAGTAAACACCAACCATTGAATGGGTAGGTAGGTACTCTATCAATGAAACAAAAACAGGTTGTTAAAAGCATACAATAATCCCAGACACGAGTGTGTTGTACTTATTCCTCTTTTGGTGCATTATTCTTACCTTTTCTGGCGATAGCGCTGGTGAGAGCGGCGGAGGAGAAGACAGTACCTCGTCATGGCCGCTTAGTATTTCGTCTGGTGGATTGCCAACGACAACAAGCTGAAGAAAAAATATTTTATTCCATTTGGTGCTTTTCTGTTGAGTAACAAGAGACAGATAAAGTATCGTAGCTTGGAGCTGCTAACATTCGCCTAGTCAATTTAAAAAAATGAAAAATATTCACATTACATTAGTTTCAAATTCTTAACTCAGTAGAAAAAATTTGAAAACTTTTGTAGGTATTGGACATGCTGAATAACCCATTTCAAATTTCTATTTTTTGAAGCTTTTTTAGTTACTGCGTAAACCAATCTTTCAGTGTTGATGAGTAAACCAACCATTGAATGGGTATGTGCGTACTCTATCAATAAAAGAAAAATAGGTCGTTTGATGAGCATAAAACAAAATTTCAGACACGAGTGGGTAGTGTGTTGTACAGTGAGAATCATTGCAATTGGCACACACTATATAAACATCGACTGTAATGTGTCAAAATTTTATTTCTTTGGCACACAAGTAATGTTAAAATCGTGTCGGATTGATGAATCAGGGGTGAACATAATAGTTTCAATATATTGTTTAAAAAAAAAAACATTACACCGCTACACTAAATAAATTTATTGGTTAGAATTTTGACTTAATACGAGGGATGTTTAAAGAGTATGTGCCAATCGCAATGATTCCCACTGTATTTATTCCTTTTTTGGTGCAGCATTCTTACCCCTCTTGATGGCGAAAGAGGTGATGAGGGCAGCGGAGTAGAGACTACATCGTGGCGGTCGTTTAATATTTTTCCCGTAGAATTTTGGACCACAATAACCTGAAGAAAAAATATTTTATTTCATTCGATGCTTTTCTGTTGAGTGACAGGAGACAGATAAAGTAAAATGGAATAAAAACAGGTTGTTTTATGAGCAGAAAGTATACAATTTCAGATGCGAGTGTGTGATATTTATTCCTTCATAGAGTTATTAGTCAGATATGGAACCATTATTGAATAGTTAGGTATTACCTTATCAACTGGTTCATGCGTACAGCAATAAACCGAACTTCCGAAGGCAGGCGTGGAGCAAACGAGGCATGACGGAATGCAGTAATAAATGCGTTTTTTTTTATAGGCGATGTCAGAATAGCTACTGTCTGTAGAGCGACTAGAATAGCTTGACGCTTCGGAAATGTTGTCTTCTGAAAAGACCTCTTCCGAAACTTCCATTTCCGATTTTTCTGAAACTTCACATAGTTCCGCCTCTTCATCGCTCGAGCTCAAATCTATGAAGTACATAGGTTTTCTTCTTTGTGAGCTGGTCCTATATTAGAAGCATTTATTAGGCCGCAAATAAAAAAATGTGCGTTGCATTTACCATCAATAACCTTGAATTACTTTTTGTATTATTCTTTTCAGAAGGTTTTCTTTTTGTTTTTAAATTAATCTCTTAGAACACAAATAATACGTACCTTGATGATGGCCCCGGTCTTGGGTCCAGGTTGACAACAGTAGCTGTCGGCGCATTAGGCCTATACTTGTTTTTACGAAACATCATCGGAGGAAACTTCGGAGGCGACATGACATTTGACGTTTTAGCCTCCGTAACCACATCTACAAGCATTATCAAATTGAATGGTTACTTTGAAAATGACAACTTAGTGAAGCTCAAATAATGTCTCCAAAAATACTGTTCCTGTTGGCCAATAATGATTAAATAAAAAATTTATAAATTTTTTTGTATTTAGGTGAGAAAAAAATCATAATTCCATTTTTGAGACGGAGATTGAGATGCGATTTGTTTTGTTCGATAAAGAGACCCTACTCAATCAATCCTGGAAGTTTGAAGTCCCTCTGATTACTTGGAAGTATTTTTCAGAGGATTCCAAAGGTGATTCAATAGAAATTTTTCATGATTTTTTTTGCATTTAAGTGAGAAGAAATTCATAAATCAATTTCTGAGCCTGAGATCTACTTGCTGCTTGTTTTGTTTGATGAAAAGACCCCACTTAATAATTACTGAAGGTTTGAAGTTTCTCTGATTGCTTGAAATATTTTTCAAAAGCTTACAAAGGTGATTTAACCCTTTCACTATCACACCTTTTAGGAGTACTTCAAAAATTCTGATTTTTGGTATACGACATGTAGGGACACTATATATAAATAAAAAAAATATACAAAAAAATTCGGTCATCCCCACTCATTATTAAGAGATGTACATCACAATGGACAAACAAAGTTTAGGGAATTGAAAAGAAAAATGGAATTTTTCTGAAAAAATGTATTACAAACTTTATAAAACTAAAAAATAATATTTTTCTGGTGAAAATAAAAGTATATAATTTACTCCATGAAAATTATCAAAAAAAATAAATATATTTACTTGGAATGAAATGTGGAAAAACAATTTCTCCCCTTCAAAACACAAAGGTGGACTTTGCATTTGATACAAAAAATATGTGTCCTATTCTTGCATTCTTCATTTTTGCATCTTGATGCTTCTTTTTTGTCATCGTATTCTGGAGTATGATGGTATCCATCATATCTAAGGTTTCTTATTGGTCGTATTTCAGTTTTTTCTTAGAGGGCCCTGGATCATCAGTACTGGTTGATGGCCTACCTCTTTTGAGAACATCTCTTCCGCAGATTAGACTTTCGGCCACTTCTTGACGAAAAGCTAGCAAATCGAGAATTTGTTTTTGATTAACTCCTAAAAGGATGGCTTTCTTCCTATATTCAAGCCATGAGTTCACTAGCCCTACATCAATAGCATGTGTTATCATCCTCACTGTCCATTTTTTGGATCTGACATAGGATCGATATAGGCTCAATAAGAAGTCAACTTTATCGACGCCGCCCATGTTACAGTTGTATATTTTGATTGCCTCAGGCCTATCTACCTGCATGTATTCTTTTTTTGTTTTGTCCCATCTTCGACATGAGTCTTTCTCGCCAATACCAACAAAGTTGGAAGCTACCAGCACTGGCTTGTTGTCGTACCATTTAGTGATAACGATGCCATGTTTGCTAACTGAGGTTGCAGAAGAGCCACGTCCTTTTTTTTTCATATCCTTATCACTGGGAAGCCTTGGATTAGCGAAACGATTCACTCTTATTGTTCCTATAGCAAATATAAATTTTGATTCGAGATATTGAAATAGATTATATGTACTGAAAAAATTGTCAAAAAAAAGTCCATGGTTTTTCTCAGTTATTCTATCACTGAGTTGCATCACTACAGCAGCTGCTGATCCATATTTTCCATAGAGGGGATTCAAGGGTGTTGTTGAACCTTGATAGATTAGGAAATCGTATATCAAGGCACTCTTGCCAGCCAAAACGTAGATTTTGATGCCCCATTTTTTAGGTTTGTTTTTCACGTACTGTTTGATGTTTATCTGCCCCTTGAATGGCACCATCTGTTCGTCAACAGAAAGGTTAGTTTATAATGGCAATTGCAGACATCTACTTCTCACAGAGTCGTACAAGCATCTGACTTTCCATAACCTATAATCAAAGAAGACGATAAGTGTCATTTATTCGAAGGAAAATGAGGAAGAAATCCAGTTCGATTATCTTCAAACCTACCTGTCATTGTTGTTTTCTTCGCGGCTGGTGATATCGACTAAGTGAATTGCTTGTCGCAACTTGTAGAATCTGGATTGGCTCATGGCATCTCTCACCAATGGTATTCCCATGCTCCGGTGCCAGTACATTGCCACACGAGGGAACTGTAAGTTCCCCATTGCAATATGAATCCCAATAAACGTTTTGATTTCATTCAAAGTTGTTGGTGGAATCCTAGCTATATTTTGTTGCGTGGCATACAAATTTGTAAAATCAGACATTTGTTGAAATAGATTATCTGGGACATATTTCAAAAAGAAGCAAATTGGGGCCGGTAAATCTGTTACAGGGCTTGTAGGAATGGGCGAATTCCATTGAATATTTCTGGTTTCGTATCGCACATTTTCACCCTGTATCCACTCTATTTTTGATTTATCAGTAAGATTATGTGTTTGCTTGAAAATTTTTACTTCATTTTCCAGATTATCATTTTCACGAATTCTATCATTCACAGTTTCATCTATCAATTCATTAGCCTCAACATCACTTGCTTCATATTCGTCTATATCCTCATTGTTTGTTTCCATTATTTCATCTAAAAAATTATCTTTTGTTTGTTTTTCAGGCATATCATCATCTGAATCTGAGAGGAAATCAATATCGGAGGCTTCATCATTTTCTAAATAGTATAGAAGCTCGTCATCTGTGAGCTTCTTTGTATATTTTCCTGGCTTTGACATTATCTGAAAAAAAAAAAATGTATGTCCATAAACTGTGTTTGTCCACCCTGATGTACATAACAATTCAATCAAAATCTGGGGATTTGATAAGATATCAAACTATGTAAATGATGAAATAGTTATTGAATTGATATTTTTACTCACCAATAATTAGTCATAAAACTCAAAATTCCACCAATTTCATAAAAAAACACAGATAATAAGCACTGACCTAAAAACCACCTGTTCATATCACACTATATTGCCTACTAACAAATGATTAAAGTCACCCTGAAAAAGTTTGGCGCACACGCTATCGTCATACATGGGTTTGAATAGGATGTACAGTCTGATGTACAAACAGAGTTTGCACATAATAATCATGCCGGGCTTCATATATCGCAACATAATTCAATGTACATGGTGATGTACAAAAATAGTGAAAGGGTTAATAGAAAGCTAACAATATTTTTTTGCATCTAAGTATGAGAAAATTCATAATTCCAATTCTGAGTCCGAGATCCACTGACGGTTTGTTTTGTTCGATAAAAAGATCCTACTCAATAAATCCTGAAAGTTTGAAGTCCCTCTACGTGCTTGAAATATTTTTCAGAGGCTTTCAAATGTGATTTAATTGAAATTTCATGAGATTTTTTTTGCATTTAAGTGAGAAAAAATCGAGGAAAAATTCATAATTACATTTCTGAGCTAGAGATCTACTTGCAACTTGTTTTGTTCCATGGAAAGACTTTACTCAATAAATCTTGAAAGTTTGAAGTCCCTCTGATTGCTTGAAGTATTTTTCAGAAGCTTCCAAAGGTGATTTAATAGAAATTTAACAAGATTTTTTTGCATTCAAAAGAGAAAAAAAAAGTGTGCAGTTCGCACCCAGTAGAAGTGAAACCTTCATCGAACTGCATGCATTACACACATACTAACATACACAGTGGCGTCCCCCCCTCCAAAAGATTTGAGAAAGAACGCAAATAAATATAGTTTAAAAAAACTAAAAAACACGCTTTTATAGTAAATTGAACTGAAAAGTGAAAAATTATTTTTAATATAAACAGAAAATATTAATGAACAAAAAATATTAGAATTATTGTGAAAAAAGCGTAGGGTGCTTTGTTCCACATTTCTCATACATTGAGCACCACACGCTTTTTTGACAATAATTCTAATATTTTTTGTTCATCAATATTTTCTGTTTATATTAAAAATTATTTTTCACTTTTTAGTTCAATTTACTATAAAAGCGTGTTTTTTAGTTTTTTTAAACTATATTTATTTTTCACTTTTTAGTTCGATGTATTATAAAAGCGTGTCAGCCCCAGAGATTTCCAGACTTTTCCAGACATTATCCAGACTTATTCCGAGCTTTCCAGAGTTTTCCAGATTTATCCAGACTTGTACAGACTGATCCGGATTCTAGAAAATGATCCCCAGGTCTTTTGGGACCTTTTCCAGAATTTTTCCGACCCTTTCAAGAAATTTCCAGGCCTTTTCCAGACGTTCCCAGAGATTTCCAGACATTATCCAGACTTACCCAGAGCTTTCCAAAGTTTTCCAGACTTCATCCAGATTAATCCAGACTTGTTCAGACTGATCCGGATTCTGGAAAATGATCCCCAGGTCTTTTGGGACCTTTTTCAGAATTTTTCCAACTCTTTCCAGAAATTTCCAAGTCTTTTCCAGACGTTTCCAGAGATTTCCAAACTTTTCCAGACAATATCCAGACTTATCCAGAGTTTTACAACCTTTATCCAGATTTATCAAGACCTTATCCAGACTTGTACAGACTGATCCGGATTCTGGAAAATCATCCTCAGGTCTTTTGGGACCTTTGGCAGAATTTTTCCGACCCTTTCCAGAAATTTCCAGACTCATTCCAGACATTTCCAGACATTTCCAGACTTTTCCAGACTTCATCCAGATTTATCCAGACATTTTCCAGACTTGTTCCAGGTTCTTGTGTGATGTGTGTTATTATAAGCGTGTTAAAAAAGTGTCGCTTTTTCGTTTCATCGAGTCTCAAATCACTCCCAACGATTCTAAAGAAGTTTTCACTTCAAAAACATAATTTCATTTCTGAGCCTGAAATCCACTCACGGTTAATTTTGTTTGATGAAAAGACGCTACTAAATAAATCCTGAAAGTTTGAAGTCTCTCTGATTACTTGAAGTATTTTTCAAAAGCTTCCAAAGTTGATTTAATAGAAATTTAAGATTTTTGAAGTGAAAACTTCTTTAGAATCGTTGGGAGTGATTTGAGACGATGGAACGAAAAAGCGACATGAAACGAAAAAGCGACACTTTTTTAACACGCTTATATTAACACACAATAAGAACCTGGAACAAGCCAAGTCAGCTGGAACATGTCTGGAAAATGTCTGGATAAATCTGGATGAAGTCTGGAAAAGTCTGGAAATCTCTGGAAACGTCTGGAAAGAGCCTGGAAATTTCTGGAAAGGGGCGGAAAAATTCTGCCAAAGGTCCCAAAAGACCTGAGGATCATTTTCCAGAATCCGGATCAGTCTGTACAAGTCTGGATAACGTCTGGAAAACTCTGGATAAGTCTGGTTATTGTCAGGAAATCTCTGGAAACGTCTGGAAAAGACTTGAAAATTTCTGGAAAGGGTTGGAAAAATTCTGAAAAAAGTTCCAAAAGACCTGGGGATCATTTTCCAGAATCCGGATCAGTCTGAACAAGTCTAGATAAAGTCTGGATTGATCTGGAAAACTCTGGAAAGCTCTGGATAATGTCTGGAAATCTCTGGAAACGTCTGAAAAGAGCCTGGAAATTTCTGGAAAGGGTCGGAAAAATTCTGCCAAAGGTCCCAAAAGACCTGGGGATCATTTTCCAGAATCCAGATCAGTCTGTACAAGTCTGGATAATGTCTGGATAAATCTGGATAAAGTCTGTAAAACTCTGGAAAGCTCTGGATAAGTTTGCATAATGTCTCGAAATCTCTGGAAACGTCTGGAAAAGGCCTGGAAATTTCTTGAAAGGGTCGGAAAAATTCTGGAAAAGGTCCCAAAAGACCTGGGGATCATTTTCCAGAATACGGTTCAGTCTGAACAAGTCTAGATAAAGTCTGGATTAATCTGGATGAAGTCTGGAAAAACTCTGGATAAGTCTGGATATTGTCTGGAAAAGTCTGGAAACGTCTGGAAAAGACTTGGAAAGTTCTGGAAAAGGTTGGAATAATTCTGAAAAAGTCCCAAAAGACCTGGGGATCATTTGCCAGAATCCGGATCAGTCTGAACAAGTTTGGATAAAGTCTGGATTAATCTGGATGAAGTCAAGTGAGAAAAAATTCATGATTTCATTTCTGAGCTTGAGATCTACTTGCAGCTTATTTTGTTCAATGAAAAGACCCTACTCAATAAATCTTGAAAATTTGAAGTCCCTCTGATTGCTTGAAGTATTTTCCAGAAGCTTCCAAAGGTGATTTAATAGAGATTTAACAAGATTTTTTTGCATTTGAGAGAGAAAAAAAAAACATAATTTTATTTCTGAGCCTGAGATCCATTCGCGGTTTGTTTTATTTGATAAAAAGACCCTACTTTAATGCCTATGATTGCTTGAAGTATTTTTCAGAAGCTTTCAAAGGTGATTCAATAGACATTTCACATGATTTTTTCGCATTTAAGTGCAAAAAATTCATAATTCTTTTTTTGAGCCTGAAAGTTTCAAGTCCCTTTGATTGCTTGAAGTACTTTAAATAATACAAAAAAGTATATATGTTTATATTTTTGTTTGTAAAGTGGAAAAATCATGACAAAATATACAGGGTGCCTCATTGAAAATAAGGCAGTAATTTTATTTCAAAAAATCGCGTGTCTGTAAAATTAAATTTCAGCAAATTTTAAGATTCGGCAATACTGTGAATGGAAATTAAAAAAAAATCATTATTCTTCCCTCCCATCAAACCACATCTCATTATCTTCACTCCTTTTCGAGATATCCACCTGCAAAATGTGTCAGCTTATCTAAGGACACCCTGTATAATAAAAGACTAAATGTATAATACCTATATACCAAATTATATAAAGTATAACCAGACAGAGAGAAAACAACGAGAATAAACATGGCATAAAACTTACCTGGAGGACATTCTTCAGTCTGCATGGGGGGCTGAATGGATGAGTCGTCCTTCGGGGCTTCGTCTGTCATATCGGAGTCACGCCCTGTATAATAAAAGACTAAATGTATAATACCTATATACCAAATTATATTAAGTATAACCAGACAGAGAGAAAACAACGAGAATGAACATGGCATAAAACTTACCTGGAGGACGTTCTTCAGTCTCCATGGGGGGTTGAATGGATAAGTCGTCCTTCGGGGCTTCGTCTGTCATATCGGAGTCACGCCCTGTATAATAAAAGACTAAATGTATAATACCTATATACAAAATTATATTAAGTATAACCAGACAGAGAGGAAACAACAAGAATAAACATGGCATAAAACTTACCTTGAGGACGTTCTTCAGTTTCCATGGGGGGCTGCATGGATGAGTCGTCCTTCGGGGCTTCGTTTGTCATATCGGAGTCTTGGTGTACCTACATTTTTTTAATCAACATTGTTACTTTATTTGTGTCTCAATAAATGCAAGACGCAAGAAGACTACTATTACTGGTAGGCCCTTACTGTTATAATTCAATACTAGTTATAGACTCCTTTTTTTGGAAATCAAGTTCTGGTTTAAATTAACTGTCAAATTACCATAAGGTGTTTAATTTATGATGGTAATTAGGTATACAGGGTGTTTGGTACATCGATAGGAAGTTTTCAATGAGTGATAGTTGGGGTCATTTGAGAGCTGTTTGACCATATTTACCCTCATGCAAAGTTTCGCCGTTTTTTGAGATATCGCCATTTTTAGATATTTTGAATCCATGTATTTTAAAACATAACTTGGGCTACATTTTTTTTGGTATCAACCATTCGGGATTTCTTTCCGTATTGTTTCGAAAGAGTGCATAATAGGAATATCAGAAAAAAAATTGGGAGAGGTTAAAGTGTTTATACTACTAAAAAAAGCAATATGTTTCCGAAACAATTCAAATATTTCCCAAAAATATCTAAAAATGCTGATATCTCAAAAACGACGAAACTTTCCATGAGGATAAATATGGTCAAACAGCTCCCAAATGACCCCAACTATCAATCATTGAAAACTTCCTATCGATGTACCATCTGTATAATTCAATTCAGTGGATGTAAGATTGTGGATAATCCAGTTCTCTATGTAACAAATAAATGATTGTTCCTTGTCAAATTAGGCTTTCTTTTTCCGATTTTGGCTATTATTTATTTCTGACGTTATTTTGACAGATATCGAAAAATGGAAAACACTTTTCCATTGTCACATTTCAGATTCGAAAAATGGCGTTTACATATTTTCACTGCGACGTTTCGTTTTCCAGAAGCCAGAAACCATCATCAACTTATTTTTTTTTTAATACGGTCCTGTCATTTTTATTACAAAATTTGAAGCCATTTTAGAATTTTGAATAAGGTAATATTAAACTTGTAATGGTTTGAATCTGTTTTTAGCTTGTTTTAGCCATATTTTCTAATAATTTAGGAGAAACCTCCTGAGTAGGGTTCTGAATGCTTCAAAAATATGCATTGGGGAAAGTCATAATACTTAAAAAGGTAAAAAGCATAACTTCTAACAATTTTGGGGCTCTGTGAAGTAGGCAGGCACACTTGAAGCACAAACGTTAAATTTTACGTGATCTTTTAGCGCATCGTTAGTGCTTCAATGTGCTTCAATCCCCAAATTAGCCATTCTTGTATTTTCGGAGATATTTCGGTTTTCTGAAATTATCTGCTCACTTCACATCCAGCAGGACCAAAGGAAGCACCAACGTTCAGTTTCAGATGAATGGTTAGTGCTTCAATAATGTGCTTCAATCCCCAAATTAGCCATCCATGTATTTTCGGAGAAATTTCGGCTTTTTGATTCTCTGCTCACTTCACACCCAGCAGGAACAAGGGAAGCATCAACGTTCAGTTACAGATAAATGGTAAGTGCTTCAATGTGCTTCAATCCCCAAATTAGCAACCCCTATATTTCCAGAGATGTAACGGTTTTTTGATTCCCTGCTCACTTCACACTCAGCAGGAACAAGGGAAGCATCAACGTACAATTACAGATAAATAGTTAGTGCTTCAATCCTTAAATTAGCAACCCCTATATTTTGAGAGATGTAACGGTTTTCAGAAATCGCCTGCTCACTTCACACGCAGCAGGACCAAGGGAAGCCCCAACGTTCAGTTTCAGATGAATGGTTAGTGCTTCAATAATGTGCTTCAATCCCCAAATTAGCCATCCATGTATTTTCGGAGAAATTTCGGTTTTTTGATTCCCTGCTCACTTCACACCCAGCAGGAACAAGGGAAGCATGAACGTTCAGTTACAGATAAATGGTTAGTGCTTCAATGTGCTTCAATCCTCAAATTAGCATCCCCTATATTTTCAGAGATGTAACGGTTTTCAGAAATCGCCTGTTCACTTCACATCCAGAAGGAACATCGAAAGGACCAACGTTTCTTTGTAGATAAATTGTTAGTGCTTCATGATTCACTACTTCAGCTTTTAACAACTCTTATACTTCCAGAGATATTTCGAATTTTTGCAATCGCTTGCTGATTTCACCCTACCAAGACCGAGAACCGAGAATATGAACAGCTTAATCCCTGGACTGAATTACTTATGATTAGTGGGTACTAAGTGTTTCCTAATGCTTAGGCTGGTTTACCCACTTTCTGATAAACTTACTGGTAACTATCTACAAGACAAATTTACCAATCAATAATCCTATCGGTCGCCGAATAACTGACCGACCAATAGGATTATAGATTGCGTTATCATCCGTCAGATAATCCTGATAGTTTATCAGAAGGTGAATAAACCGGCCTTAGTTTCTCTTTTCAGCAGCCTTCATATTCATCTTATATGACAAATGTTATAGATCGGAATGTTCCCGCTATTTATGTACTAAGCGGGTCATTTCTAAAAACCGGAATATCTCTGAAAATCGAGGGGTTGCTAATTTGGGTATTAAAGAATATTAAAGCACTAACCATTTATCTGTAACTGAACGTTCATGCTTCCCTTGTTCCTGCTGAGTGTGAACTGAGCAGGTGATTTCTAAAAACCGGCATATCTCTGAAAGTTCAAGGGCTGCTAATTTGGGGATTGAAGCACATTGAAGCACTAACGAAGCATTAACCATTTATCTTCAACTGAACGTTGGTGCTTCCTTTGGTCCTGCTGGATGTGAAGTGAGCAGATCATTTCAGAAAACCGAAATATCTCCGAAAATACAAGGATGGCTAATTTGAGGATTGAAGCACATTGAAGCACTAACCATTCATCTGAAACTGAACGTTGGTGCTTTCTTTGGTCCTGCTAGGTGTGAAATGAGCAGATAATTTCAGAAAACCGAAATATCTCCGAAAATACAAGGATGGCTAATTTGAGGATTGAAGCACATTGAAGCACTAACCATTCATCTGAAACTGAACGTTGGTGCTTCCTTTGGTCCTGCTAGGTGTGAAATGAGCAGATAATTTCAGAAAACCGAAATATCTCCGAAAATACAAGATGGCTAATTTGAGGATTGAAGCACATTGATGCACTAACCATTCATCTGAAACTGAACGTTGGTGCTTCCTTTGGTCCTGCTAGGTGTGAAATGAGCAGATAATTTCAGAAAACCGAAATATCTCCGAAAATACAAGGATGGCTAATTTGGGGATTGAAGCACATGGAAGCACTAACCATTCATCTGAAACTGAACGTTGGTGCTTTCTTTGGTCCTGCTAGGTGTGAAATGAGCAGATAATTTCAGAAAACCGAAATATCTCCGAAAATACAAGGATGGATAATTTGGGGATTGAAGCACGGGGAAGCACTAACCATTCATCTGGAAATGAACCTTGGTGCTTCCTTTGGTCCTGCTAGGTGTGAAATGAGCAGATAATTTCAGAAAACCGAAATATCTCCGAAAATACAAGGATGGCTAATTTGGGGATTGAAGCATATGGAAGCACTAACCATTCATCTGAAACTGAACGTTGGTGCTTCCTTTGGTCCTGCTAGGTGTGAAATGAGCAGATAATTTCAGAAAACCGAAATATCTCCGAAAATACAAGGATGGCTAATTTGAGGATTGAAGCACATTGAAGCACTAACCATTCATCTGAAACTGAACGTTGGTGCTTTCTTTGGTCCTGCTAGGTGTGAAATGAGCAGATAATTTCAGAAAACCGAAATATCTCCGAAAATACAAGGATAATTTGGGGATTGAAGCACATTGAAGCACTAACCATTTATCTGAAACTGAACGTTGGTACTTTCCTTGGTCCTGCTAGGTCTGAAATGAGCAGACAATTTCAAAAAACCGAAATATATCCGAAAACTCAAGGATTGCTATTTTGGGGATCGAAGCACATTGAAGCACTAACGAAGCGCTAAACGATCACGTAAAATTTATCGTTTGTGCTTCAAGTGTGCCTGCTTTCTTCACAGAGCCCAATTCGGCATCCCCGCATTTTTAGGATTGTGTCACATTCCTAGCCTGCGTTTTCGCAGCAGTTTGAAAATTCGAATTGAAAATCATTTTATTTTCAAAAATAGGCGATTCTTTTTTTTTGAAAAAAATAAAATAATTTAGAAGTTGTTAGAATGTCAACACTGTCTGGGGATGGGAGTCCTTTTGTGGAAACTGCCTCACGGACGATCCACCTTCCAATAAATTGTTCGTTCAATTGTGGTGAGTTAAATAATTATTCGAACGCCAATGTAGCTTGAGGTTTATTATAATATACTGTTTGTAAAGTTAGCTGACTACTATAATATTGTTTTATTAATTTACAAAGGAAAGAGAAATAATGGCTTAATGGCGTCGCGTCGATTGCCAACTTGCTGGATGAGGAATGATGGAATGCTATTGGTCGAATGCGCGTAGGAATATTGACAGAGTCAATTTTTGTTGTGCGGAGTGTTGGCCGCGCAGACCTTGTTCATCCAGAAAGGCGTCGCTGTTGCCACTTGACGCTTCAAGTCCGTTTCAGGCGCATAGTTGCCAATGTACAAATCAACGGAAAACCAGACAAACCCAATAATTAAAATAATATTATAAAGTTACTCGTGCATTAGCCAAAAAAGAGCTTGGAGTTGTTTCTATCTAAATTAAAGCACATATTTCAATTTTTGTACAATTCACGTGATTGCCCAACCAAAAATATTGTACTAAACGAACATTATTTATTTGACAACACCGCCGTCCACTATGTAATAATGGCGTCTCAACGAAGCCGTTTTCCCGCGCATTTCAATTTTTAGGATTTAATTTGCAAATATATCAAAAACTATATCCTTTTGGAGAAAAAATAAAAAAATACTATGATTTTTTTGCCCACAGAATTCGAAAAAAATATAATCCAAAAAGGTGCAAGTACCCTATCAAAAAATACTTACCTACTAGATACAAAAAGGAATAAACAAAAGTATGTGGTGAAAAGTACGCCAATCAAGACCTATTATTATTTACCTAAATGGATAAAATAATGTAATAATAATTAATATTACCAGTAAATTACACAAAAGTCTTTGGAAGTACCACTTTCACTACCGTATCAAACAGTTTTTACCAAGAAATCGTTCAAAAATTATAATAATTTATATTCAATGAAAATGAGATTAAAAACTTATCGAAAACCACCAAAGCCAGACACTGTAGCCACTTAAAAATTTCCTGGAATTCCAGGTGGGGTGCCTGAATTGAAACTTGCGAGCAAAATGGAGACAGGCACGAATGGTGCCAAAGAGTCGGCGCTGTTGGGGGAAGAAGGAAGAGGGGGAAATACGCGGGAAAAGAATTTCCACTTGTCAATTAGGTTTGTTCTAACTCCATTTCTTGAAACCGGTCGGCGCAAGTTCTGTAATGATTCCGGAACCATTCTAGGATTAATTAAACATCGCTTACAACGGTTTCAGGAGGTTTTTTTTTCAACATCTTTGCTTTGTCTTTGCCTTATCCCACTCTCCGGCTGCATACCTTCAATAGCTTTGTTCCAACGCAGCAGAAAACTGTACATTGTACCGTCACGTTTCTGCGCGAAACCTAAAAGTTCTGCGTAGAATCCAAAATTGGTTTACAGAGTGGTTTCAAAACCGTTCATATGACGGTTTTTGACATGCTGGTACAGGCCCATTATCAGTTCCAACGAAAGTTCAAAGTGTGCGACATCTATTATCGAATATGTGAACTCAAATAGCAGCTAACAAAGAACCCCAACGAAAGATAAAGAATTCAATTAATACCTACTCAAAATATCACATCAATTTTTTATGAAAAATATTCATTTAAATCCTATTATGCATATATAAAATTAGCAAGAGGTAAGGAAGAATATATGGCGGTGGGACCTCTATTATTGTCGCCACTGTGTCTAAAGGTGGTGGTGGTATCGCAGTGAAGTTGGCAGCCAATCTTCCGGAAACACCCGAACCACCAGTGTCTTGCGTTTTTTTTTTTTTTAATTAAATCAATTAATCACTAAAATGTACCTAATTAAAAAATAAAATAATGCAGAGTATAATTAATACTGATGATTTTCTGAATATTTTAGCGTTCTCCAATTTTCTTGCAAGGCCGCACAAGGCTGGCTTAGGGGTGAAATATATTATTAGATTCAGATCAGCCAAGCGAGAGACAGAGAAACAGTCAGCAGTGCGAAAGAGAGAGGGACAACGCGATTGGGATTCAATCGAGACTCCTCCTAAAACAAATTTCGGCGACGTTGCCGATATCATTAGCAAAATTTTAACTGCTTATAAAAGGTTGCCTGGTAACAACGCTTGGTAATAGCAAACAGATGACGTCATCAGGTGGTTTTTATGGAGATTTGCATTATCTTTAGGCATACATAGATGACGTCATGAAAGTTATCAGACAACCTCTCTCGTTTAAACAACCTTGATCCAAACCAAGGTTGTTTGAAAGAGCTAGGTTGCCTGATAAATTTTATGACGTCAGTTGGGGTGCCCAAACATAATATATCTCCATTAGGCAACCTAAATGACGTCATCTGTTTCCCATTACCAGACAACCTATCAACTTTGGGAGCCTTTTTTTTTTCTCCCTGTTCTAGGCCTGTCCGACTTTGTCTCTATGCAGCACTGAAGCCTGAGAAGGCTTATTGTACTTAGCTTGTGTGGTTTATTCCAACCACTCCAATATTTTGGCGCTTTGTGCGAGATTGTACAGGTCTTTTACTGGGTGGTGTTTCATTATTGTTTCCAGCTCTACGTTTGGTTGCCCGAAAATGCTATGTCTTCTGCGATCCAGTGCCTCGCCGTTCACCTCCACCAGAATGTGTCTGGCTGTCTTGGGTTCCTTATTGCAAAGTCTGCAATTGAGGTCTCCATCGTACAGGTTCATTCTGTTCAGGTGGACCTTTACTGGTGTGTGGCAAGTCAAGAGTCCCGTTATGGTTCTCAGTCGGCTCTTGCTCATTTGTAGCAGTTCTGCGGCCCTTTTGCTGCATGGTTGGTCGATGAATTCCCTACCACGATTCTGCTTGGAAGTTATCCTGATATCCCTAGAGCCGGTTCTGCCGATAAGTTTTGTCTCTGACCCTCTCTTTGCGAGTTCATCAGCTTTTTCATTTTTTTTGATAGGACACCCTATCTGTAATAATAATATAGTGCTGGACAAATGAAGTGGATATTCTATTTCTTGAACTAAATTTTGGGATCGAATATCTCGACAAAAAAAAATCGTATCGATTCGCGATTTTCATTGATTGATGGCAAATTTTATTGAGAATAGGAGGATTTGATAATAAAAATGACCATTTGTTACAAATGTTGTTATACAGGGTGATAATGCAAACCAATACCTAAAGTTGAAATTTTAATTGTTAAACGCCCCTGTGGCTTCCCATAAGGCAATCTTTTAATTTTATTTTATTTTTTATTTTATGTTATTTTATTTGCTGTATAAACCCAGCCAGGGATGTTCCAAGGTGCACAATTGTGCATATTATGCACAATCTGATCTCAATATGCACCATATGCACAATCTTGATAAAATATGCACAATTTTCACAATCTAGCCAAAACAAAAAAATATTTTCCTTCAGGGAACCTTTGGCAATTTCGCCTTGCGCGTTGGTTGTGGTTACTGACATCTGTTATTTTGAAAGCTAGGCTCATCTAGACTTATAACTTAGAAAAAAAAAGCCAAATGAGCCACATAATGGCGGCTTACTTAAGGATGATACACACTACTAAGGATGGCTTATCGGCCTATCTTTTGGTAATCGCCGCCATATTGGTGTGTCACCATTTCCGACGTCATAACTAAATCGTCAGCTGTTTAAACAGCCTACGTCAAGGTGAGAAATACCATGCTGCCTACGTCACAACTGGTGATTTGGCTTTGGGGCTGGAATGCTAACACATAAGGAAGAACGTGAAGGCTAGTGCAGCTGCTGCGGAGGGGATACCTGTTTTTGTCGCACTCATTATGTTAAATGGCGAAAATTGCTTCCAACACGTATTCCAATTGATGAAACCTGTGAAGGAAAATATGACAAAACTTTCGAAAACGTCATATGTCAGCGAGCAATAGAAAAAAACAACATTCCCCCTTGTGGCATCTGTCTTTCATGGCTTCATTTTTTGGGCAGATATGGCAATGTACGCGCATTCCAGTTTTTGGCTATAGTTCATTGGGTTAGGCATTGACATTAGTCACCGCATCCGTGATGGTGCATCATTTTGGTGAATTTAGCCACACGCGGGTTATCATCACTGTTGGTGAAAAGGTTTATCGCGAGTCACTGTAATTTTTATTTTACTTCGTCGCCTATAAATAAGAAAATATAGGTTTAATAAGTATTAATTTTCCGGCAACTTGTAGGACGACTACCCCTGCTTTCTTCAAAACCCAAGAGATAAGAGATGGCGCTAATACTTTCGTCATTTACGTAATTTTTGAGCATGTGCACAATCTGAAACGAATATGCACAATTTTTCCCTGGGTAAATGCACACTTGAAAATTTTCTTGGAACAACCCTGAACCCAGCTATACGCTCGAGAAAGGGTGCCATTTTTTGGGTTCTTAGAAAACTTTAGTTTTCATTGCAATAATGCTTATTTCACGTTAAATAATGTACCTATTCAAATTAGTGTTTTGTTTGTGAAGGTCAATTACACAATAAAGAAATTCTTCGTTTGAAACATTAAGCCGTAATTTCTCGATGGACGTTCCCTTTAACCTTAGCAAAAAAGGGTGGTCCTTCGAATTTAACGAAAACAAGTCTTAGGTATTTATTATCTAGGTCGTTTTCATTTTCAGACCATTTTCTTAAGTATGTAATTTTAATTTCAGTCCTTTGGATACTTTGGGTAAATTTCAGCAGTCCTTTTTATTGGGCATTATGTATGATGAACTGATTTTGTTGTCTGATTTAAGTTTGATTTGTTAATCCAGTCCAAAAATTCAATATCGTGTAAGGAATATAATATAGGTATTGTCACTAAAATATTAGAGAGTTATTGGAAGTGAAATAAGGTCCAGCAGTAATAATGCAAACGTTATATTGACATCTGCGCTTGCGCAGTTGTGCCATTGAATAAGGCTAGTTTTATTAACGTTTGTGCTAGACTTTATTACTGCACGAATAAAATCACGCACTAATAATATAATTTGCCTTTAATTTGACGGATTTTTGAAATTTGTTAGCAAAGCAAAGCTGTCAGTAAGTAAAGTAAGGTTAGAAATAGAATTAAGGAACAGCCGTATCTTGACGTGTTCGTGATCGTGAGAAATAACTGTTTTTTTCCAGCCGCGTTTAGGTAAAGCGCTATTTAAATAAGGTAGTTGCCTTATTACTGCTAGCTTTATTTTGAAATCTCCAATAACTCTCTATTGATGCGATGAATACAGCGCTACACTATATAATTTTTTTATATAAAGCTAGCCTTTATGAATAAAACACAAAAATATTCCATGAAATAAGTATATTAAAAAGTTTGCTACATTTTGTTTTGGTAAGGTACATCACATCATGGAGGAATTGATATATACTGAAATGTCATTTTGCATGCAAAAGAGTTTTCCTATATAGTTTCACGTCAATTCATAAATGAGCATATTATAAATGGAAGAGTAAGGACAAAATGAGCATAACTATGACTTATACAATCTGACAAGTAATAAAGAAATATGAAATAACACATACAAAACCAATAAGGTATAATCAGAATGACAATGTATCTCACTGAAATTTTGATAGCAGCTTTATTAAGATTAAAAATAATTTTAAAGCGAAGCAGTTATTTTTCCGTGGCCTTACTAGTTACTGTTTGGAAAAATAGTACCTGAATCTTCTATTACAAGTTTTTGTTTCTTGGCTTATTTAACAAAATTGAAATTTGATCATTGATAAACATATAGCATTAATAATATGAAGGGTGTTCCATAACTATACCGACAAATTTTTAGGTAGGGAACATCAAAAATGTTCCAATAGGCTTCATGATTCAGGATGTTAAAGACGAAAAAAAAAAAAACGTTTTCTTATTAATATCTAAAAAACGCTTCAGCCAAGTTTATTGATATTTTCATAGTTTGTTACTACCTTCATCAGACATCCTGTCAATTGATAATGTAATTCCATGGGCGTGCTCACAGGGCAAGTCTCTGGATTGATTTTAGACTTAAGTATCGTTATAGAGCAAAATACCTTTTTGTTGATGTTCCTTAAATTGCTTAAACACCCTTTGAAGTTTGTCGGTATAGTTATGAAACACCTTGTATATATTATTTGTTAACAATCAAAAATCTGGCGGCACAATTGTTTCTCTGAAATGAGAGCATCTCAGATATGACATTTTTTTGTTTCGACGCTCAATTTTGATTTCATTTCTAAGTGGGTGCCATCGATGAGGCGAGCAAATAAAATTTTTTGGTTCTGTTCGGCCATATTTCACCTCTGATTAAATTATTTGGTATGCAAAAAGTAGCGAAATCATTGTTTGTTGTATAATTGTCAAAATCAATATCTAAACATTTTTCAAAGACGTTAATTAGGCAAGTTTTTTTTTCTGTGTTGATAGGTTTGATAATGATTGAAAATCCTTATGATTAAGTTACGAACTACATTACTAGGGATTGATCTTGCTTTTAAAAACATTTGCAAGATCAATATTAATATGAATGATTGTCTTAACAATAATATTGGGAAATCTTTTATTTTTCTAGGAGAAAGTAAACAGTAAACAAAAAAGTTAATTTGAAATTTTTGCTTTAAGTCATATGCGAATGTGAATGACAAGATTTGATATTTCAAATGATAATTATTCAATATTCGAAATTGGATAGAATCAAAAAATAGGTAAGGTATTATCAAAGTTTCTGGAAGGCTTAGCGTAATTTCTATAAATGATTAATATTGCTTTTTATTTCTATTCTAAATTACATTATGGTATAGCTTATTTAATTAGGATATATTTGACTTGAATTATTAATAAAAATTATGAACTTATTGTGCTCGTGATTGCTTCAATAATAAAAAAAATCGAAATCAGCTCTAGCTCTGATTGAAAAGAAAATCACAAACTGGGCTTAGAGCATAATGGGATCTTTTGCAGGTGCTTCTTTAGAGATTTCCTTTTTTTATTTGCTTTCTCAAAAAAAAAATTCAAAAGTTAATTCTATTATTATTAGTTGCTTTATCCAATTATGCGCATTTTAAAAATTAGTGAAAGAGCCCATCGTATCATTGCACATCCTGCATGTTACTTTTATCGGTACAGATCTGAAAATATGATACTTATTAGTGTTATTATATTATATATGCCCTATATACTAGAATAAGGATAAATATTTTATATAAATTATTTTAAAGGTTCAAAGATAGATTCTTTTCTGAGGGTAGAAAATATGAGAAATCCAATAAACCTCTTTGCAGATTAATAATACATAGATAGGTATATATATAATATATGAAAAATAAGGTGCTCTATAAAATACTTAATGTGCGTCTTATTTTAACTTTTTCACCTTATAATTTACTATTTACATGGGAGATGCGGCGTTTTTGGCGTCTTTATTTTCATGATTGCTTTCACAAAGTTTTTTTAAGTACCTAACCTACGGAAAGACGCCAAACAAATTTATTTAAAAAAATCAGATCATAAAATTACAATTATTTTGGATTAAACAGTATTCTAAGCTAATTTTACTTTAGAAATATTGGCAAGAAAGTTAGTTGTTATCGTGGAACATACCTCCTTAGGTACTATACCTACAACGATAATTTAATTTTCTTGGTACATACTAACAGAGGTGATACCTTTAAGTTTTATCAAATAATCGGGAAATATTTTTTTTATCATCTACATACTTCTCTTTTGGATAAAATTTTCATAAGAATTCATTAATGTTAGAAAATGAAAAAAGAATGAAATACGGAAAAAAACGTTTTGATGAAAACGACCCGCATTTTCACCTTGTTTTTTACATTTAAAAAAAAAACTTTTTTTTATGATTTAGTGATTGTTTTACGATCGCCTAGGCTCTAGTTTTTGAGACATGCCCGTTAAAATCCGTTGATTGTCGATGACCCTCAAGCAGGATATGTACGACTTCACTTCTCCTTCGCTTTTGGGTGATGGGGGATCCAAAACTGGAACAGAAATGGAAATTAATATCTGCGTAGCTGATTCTATTTATTCTCACTTAGGACATTGGCACTGTCAGTCCCTCTGATTGCTTGAAGTATTTTTCAGAAGCTTCTAAAGGTGATTTAATAGAATTTAAGTATTATTTTTTTAGGTGAGAAAAAATTCATAATTCCATTTCTGAGCCTGAGATCTACTTGCGGCTTGTTTTGTTTGATGAAAAGACTCTAATCATTAAATCTTGAGAGTTTGAAGCCCCTCTGATTGCTTGAAGTATTTTTTAAAAGCTTTCAAAAGTGATTTATGCAAAATTTCACGATTTTTTTGCATCTGAGTGAGAAAAAAAATCATAATTCCATTTCTGAACTTGAGATCCATTTGTGATTTGTTTTGTTCGACAAAAAGACCCTATATACTCAATGAATCCTGAAAGTTTGAAGTCCCTCTGATTGCTTGGAGTATGTTTCAAAAGCTTCCAAAAGTGATTTAATGGAAATTTTGTATGATGACCCCTGGATCGAAGGGGGATTCGACGCAGGTGAAGAGGCACAGGGCTTCTGGGGTAAAACCAGGAGGTGCGGGGATGACTTCATACAGTGCCGCAATATCTGCTGGGCTCCGGGTTACCATAATGCCGGATACGTTTCCGACCACTATGGTCTATGAGCCACAGAGCAAAAAGATCATGGCGGCATTTAACACCGTCATAGATCAGATGGGGGAAGACCGTATCCCTCGATTCGAGAAGTTTCGCTGGGATCCGCAGGGAACCATTATAGTTAGTTGCGGGGACCAGTGGTTTCTACACCATGTCAACCTCAATTTCGGAAAAAATAACTTTTATTTAGGAATATGTAAATTCATTTTCGGGAAAAATCATATCAATTTCAGAAAAATTATAGCTAATTTCGGGAAAAGTAAATTCATATTCGGAAAAAGTAGATTCAATTAAGGAGAAAGTAATCTCAGAATGAGACTTGATGAAAAATAAATTTAGCACTGATTTAAATAAGTGATTCAATCACTACATAGTGACCATAGTATGTTGTGTCTGATTGTTCTATTTCATAATGACTAACGAGGGAAATAATCAGTGCTAAATTCATTTTTCATCAAGTCAAATCATTCTGAAAATTAACATTACTTTCTCTGTAATTGAATGTACTATTTCCGAATTTGAATTTACTTTATTCGAATTTGAATTTACTTTTTTCGAAATCAACTTCACTTTTTCCGAAATTAAATGTACTTTTACATTTTCCTAAATAAAAGTTACTCATTCATAAATTGAGGTTGAAATGGTGACGAGTGGTAAGAGGGGGTCATCTCCTCGATAAGGCCCTAGGAGGGGGCATCGCTGCGTGTGATGCGATACAGGGTTGTCAAGATGATTGCGGTAATCCACGGACTTCCAAATGACACCAACACCATCCACAAACGCCTCTGTAGACAGAATCCTGGACTCAGGACGAATCCATGGAGGATGTACCACCATAAAGAAGAGCTCTCATGGTTTTTAGAGTTGACGAGGCTACGTCTGAGGTCTTGCGACGCCAAAACTACAAGGCGTACGCAGGGGTCTCCCTTGTCACTTTCGTGACGAGGGCAAAGGCTCCAGCTGCGCCCGTAAAAGTGACGGCCCTAGCCGAGGAGGGTAGCAGCAATACTCCATCCTCGGAAGGAACGCCACCGCCCAATCCAGCCTCGGATGAGTCAGTCGATGGCTTTGAAGATCTGGAAAAAGAGATGACCGAGCTCATGGCTTCAGTTGCAGCAGATGATACTCCACCGAAAACACAGGCTGGACCATCTATAGCCTTGAAATAGGTCCAATCATTATCCCATACATAAAGAGACCTTATTTCTTTAAAGTAACTTGCAACATAGCAAAGGGGTGACCTCCTTGATTGATCGTCACATTGCTATGGGGCAGACACATGTATACCTTCTACAAGAACCTTGGGCATACAAGCTCGGGCATACAAAGGTTGCGTAAGAGGATTAGCCAGAGTGAAACGATCTTTTAAAGATCTCTATAAAAGGGACTTCCAACTGAACACAAGAACTTGCATCTATGTCGACAGACGGATCGAGTCCACTCTTATTGCTAGCTTCTGCTCTAGATACCTAATAGCAGTAAAGCTATGCCTCAAGGACAGACTGGGACAGAGCAGATCGATAGTACATTGCTCGGCCTATCTGCCCTAGGACACCACATGGTGTGGGGCAACACAGGCCTGTAGCCAGGTTTTGATTTCAGAGTGGGCAACTAAACATTTAGGGGGGGCAGACTTATTTTTATTTTCAGCTTTATTTTCCAAAAGTACATAATAACTGATTACAAAATGTAAAACCTTTTAACAAAATACAAACAAATAATAGAAATACATAAGAGCGAACTTGAAGGGGCGTTAATGACATTGAAATCTGTCAGTTCTGCGTGGATTTTTTCAAATTCGTCTGCAAAGAGAAAACAAGCTCACATCGGAATTGGCAGAAACATTCTTCGATGGTTTATCTAAAATCCGAATATTTTAGTTTTTCGATAATTTGCGTTTTTCTCGAAATAAAAATTGTATATCTGGTTGCCTATAGTCGTTATGGTTTATTTCTAAGAACTCGCAAAATATCGAAAAACTGAAATATTTGGATTTTTGATAATCGATCAGAGAATGTTTATGCAAATTTTGAGCCAATTCTAATGTGAGTTTTTTTTTCTCTTTGCAGACGAATTTTGAAAAATCAACCAATCAGAGTACAGAACTGACAGATTTCAAATATCATTAATGCCACCTACCTTAACCCTAGAATACTAACCCTCTAAAAACACACGTACATACTAACCTACGTAAAATTTACGTGTTCCGTGTTTTTAGGTGTCTGTGTCTTTGTGTGAAATGTAAGTTCTTTAGTTGTGTACATACATTAAATATGTTAAAGTAGAATTGAAAACAAAAAATCCCTCAAAACATTCATTTACATAGAATACAAAATAATAATTCTAGCCGCTTATATTTTGGCAATTTTGAGAAATAATCTTAATTTTTTTTGAATGAACAACACTCAGAACAAATTTGCGTTCATATTTTCTCAAAAATACAAATAAAATCTAACTAGTACTAACCCAAGTAAATTTTACTGGAGACATGAAACGACTTTCATTTATGTAACAAAGGCGATGTCATCTCCTACTGGTATTGGGGGAAGCACTCTTGAAATTTAAGCGGATTGAATCACATATTTGGGAAATGGCAGCATATCAAACAAAAAGCACACTTGAAATTCACGTGAGTTAGTATTCTAGTGTTAAGGTAAAATATGAGTTAAACTGTGGTTTTATAAACGGAAAACGGCCACAGCAAATAGGCGTAAACTTCTTCGAAATAATTGAAGTTTATCCGGAAGAACAGAAATTAAATCACATAATTTGTTTCGTGTTTTTTTTTTTTCTAGCCTACTCTAGAGTGGGCAACTTTTTCATTCAGAGTGGGCATTGCCCACTCTGGCCCCCCCTAGCTACGGGCCTGGGGCAACACCAACACGAACCGGAGAGGGCTCAATCTTCTGGAATACTTGCACCCCACGGATTTAGAAATCCTAAATCGTGGCAGCGCACCGACTTTTGTCACTTCGCGTAGACAAGAGGTGGTAGACTTGACATTGGGCTCAGTGTCCATGGTACTGATGATAAGCAAATGGAAAGTGTCTGACGAACCGTCCCTATTAAATCACAGACATATCCTATTCAGCTTGGACCTTGATCACAAGGCTGGGCCCAGTAAGTTCAGGAATCCCCAGAACACAAACTGGGATCAATACGTTGAGATCCTAAGGGCTAAACTAAAAGAGTTTTCCACGCCATGCCGCAACGCAACGCAAGTGGAGGAAACAGCCGAATTCATACGCAACGCAATCACCAATGCGTATGAACGAACCTGTGAGCTTCGAACCTATCAAGGAAAGAAGAAAACCGGCCTCGACAAGGCTCATAAAGAAACCCGCAGGCTCTTTAACATGGCCATACGGTTTAGATCACTAGCTGACTGGGACAGCCACAAGCAGTCTCAGCGCAGATATAAAAATCTTATAAGAAAGTCCAAAAGAAAATCGTGGAGGACGTTCTGCGGAAACGTAGACGAGCTTCCGGCAGCCGCCAAGCTCCAAAAGATTCTTTCGAAAGACCCAGGACGAGAGCTGAAGTTACTAAGAATTTCCTCTGGTAGTTATAGCGCTATCGTAGACGAGACACTTTGTTGGCTCCTGGAAACATACTTTCCGGGCTCTAAAATCCTGCAAACTGGTGAACCACCAATGCACACTCCACAAGCTGGAGCAAGGCCAGCTGACTGGAAGATAGCTGCGACTGCGAGGGTGGTATCAGAAAACTCCGTAAGATGGGCCATCCACTCATTTGGAGCTTTTAAGAGTGCGGAACCATTTGGAATCTTTCCGGCTGTTCTGGCGTAAGGTCCAAGTGGTATTTATCCCCAAGCCAGGACGCTATATCTACGAATCGGCTAAGGATTACAGACCCATCAGTCTATCCTCGTTTCTTCTAAAAACGTTCGAGAAACTGGTGGAAACATTCATCAGAGAAGGGGCATTGAAAACTGACTGAAATCTACGCCATACAGGCATGTGCTCAGGAGAATCTCCAGAGAGGTTACTCGGGCAAGTATATTTATATAAGCAGCGACAGCCAGGTAGCACTCCGAGCCCTTGGTTCAGACAAGGTCAACTCGAGGCTTACGTTTGACTGTATAATTACCCTCAAGCTACTCAGTGGGTTCAACAAGGACACCCTTGTTTGGATCCCGGGTCACAGAAGCATAAAAAGCAACGAGGCGGCAGACCAGCTGGCTCGTGAAGGTAGCAAAACTGCCTTTATTGGGCCGGAGATTGCTCTTGGGGTTTCTTCCTGCCTGGTGAAAGCCAAGATTAGGAACCGGTTGTTGCGGTTCCAAAACGAATGGCTGGAAGGCCTCAGACAGTCAAGGATCTTTATACATATCCTTCAAACTGCAAAGAGGCAAAACCGCAAAAAGCCTCTTGAAACTAAACAGGAGCCAATTAAGAGCCATCACAGGCGTCCTGACGGGACACTGGGTGGTAACACAAAATCGGACTCAGCAATGAGACGGAATGTAGGTTCTGCAGCGAAGTAGATGAAAATGTTGCGCCCTTGTCAGTCGCAGACAGCGATACCTCGAGTATAGGCAGGTACAGTTTCCTGGAACCTGATGAAATAAAGCATGTCCGGCCGGAGTTCGGCAATTTGCGAGATCCTAAGGTAAGACAGGGCTGCACCAAGAGGAGGATAGCACAATGGACCACATGCGCGTCTACGTGTTGCCTATAAAGGCTCCCCTTTCAAATTAATCAATCAATGTCTGTAAAACCAAATAACAGAAAATTTTGGGATTTGGGAATACTTCGAAAAAAAAAATCTTATTCTCTCAGAACAATTCTCATCTTGTTATCTGTTCTCGTTTATTTATAGATATTTATCTACAAAATGTGTGAGTTTATTTAAGGACACCCTGTATAACAAATTTTTCCATCGAAAACTGGATCTTTAATTTTTGAGAAGTCGAGTCCTATCCTTATAATTTCTGTAGTTTTCCCAGTTATTATAGGATTTTCCTTGCTGATTCATAATGTTCTGAATGCCATTATTATCGAATTTTTTTTTAGAGGTCAGAAGTATTGTCAGGAACAGTGAGAACTATCCCAAGCTACGCTTTTCTGTTTCAGATACTCTTCTGTCAAGCCTACGTAGAGAAGACGACATGTCCCACTACAGGGCCCTTTCATGTTCGCTACACTACAGTACACTTCTGCAATATACATAGACCATTTTTATAATACTCTAGACTTTCATCACAGCCCCAGTGTGTTACCAAAATAACTTTGGAAAAGAAGAAATACTATTTTAAGCTATATTTTTCTTACCTAAATGTCTACTCCTACAGAATCTAATGGTCCTCATTGTTTGAGCAAGCATGTGCATTTTTTCGAAATTCACCAATCCATCCAAAGAGGTTTTGTTGCCTTCGTGGGTAAAAGTCATGTCTTTTATAAGGAGAGGCATAAACGGTACCACTGGTGGCTGCAGTTTCCCGACGCTAACCCTGTAAGCTCGATGATTTCTACTGGGATCTAGAAACAAAGATGAGTTTGTAAATCTACATTTCGTGCACAGTTTCTACTAGTCACTTACCTATCATCAATTCAAATTCTGTATACAACTTTCTGAACTTCGATGGTAGTTTGTCCCATGTATTGGATAGTCTGGATACAGCCACGTTGCTCAGTCCCATTACAATTGCGCAAAATGCGTTCAAATTTTGAAATTCCCTGCAGCTGAAACGAAATTTGCTGGTGACGATGAAGAATAATAATCAGCTTAATCTTTTTTTATTATTCTGTTATTTTCACCCAAAAAAATATTTTATTTCATGAGCTTCAAAGTCGACGTGACGCTCAATTTCTAAGTTAAAAAAGTCCTTCAATTCAACTTTTTCCAGTGGAACCGTTTAAAGTTTCAATAAACGAATTCATTATTGTTCTGGGTATTTTCTCTTTTATTTATTTGATACTTTGGTAAGTGAATTTTAGCCTGGCGAAAGTTTTCGAAAACTTTTAAAATTGAATCAATACCTACAAACTTTCGGAATCTAAAATATTTTCAAAGATAGGTATGTTTTCATTTTAATAAAAAAGTATAAAATAAAAATGCGTTTTACGAACAAATATGTATTGATTTTTCAGCCATAAATGAATTTGCAAAGTTCGGTTTCCGCCTCCCAAACTTTACTAATTAATAGCGATACCAAGATATTACCGGATAATTTACTTCATTAAAGGAAACAAACTTCATCCATTATTAACTCAAGTACGTCAGCAAATTCTCACGACGAGCGAAAATATACTTACTAAGCTGCTAGCTTAATGAACTTCCTTAACACTGCTACCCTCTTGCTGAGGCTGCTCATCATACAGACTTCCGTGACGACCCAGAATTGAATTTCGTTGAATCGCCTCAGAAAAACGTCCAAATTTGCTGTGATTTGACCAAAGTGGTGTCTACCGAACGTGTGGTAGACTAGTTCATATTCGTGAACACACCTTAGAAAGAAAATATTGAACATTTTTACAAAATATATTTGTTTCCTGTATAGAAAAATTTTAATTGTAAAGTAGATAAACAGATACACTTAAATTCGACGTGATTGCTGCCGCCAAAGGTATTTTAAAATCTAGGGGCGTCATTCTCTTCGATACACAATGTTTCCAAATCGTTGAATTGGAAAAAGGGGAACAGTAGAAATGGTTCGGTGGGATCATTAAATTTGCCCTTTTATTTCTCCCGAGAAAATACTATTTACGGAATAAAACTATACCAGACTCATATTCTAGAGATTTGCTTCAAGAATAGAATTTTAGATTTTATTTGTAGAAACGTGTTTGCTAATAATTTTTTTTTTGTTTATCCAATTTTCGAAAAATAAATAAATAAAGATATTTAATTACCAAAACAAATCCCAATCGAACAGCGTCATGTAGTATGCTAATTCTTTAGTTCCGAACATTTCGATATCCGCTTCGATCCCTTGAGTTGCCTCTTCTTGTTCTGTTAGACAAGTCTAAAACAAAAAGAGCAAAACGTTTTTGAGATAAATACCATCTTCAAGTACCAACTGGTCAAGTACCTACATAAGTTTTTAACAATTCAGCACAGTAAGCCTATAACCAGTTCTAACTTTTGATTTAGGGCGTCGTATAAGTTTTGCATATACGAGCTTTTATTAAGTTATGGGAAACTTTGCAGCATAATTATATTTCAGTAGAGTTCATCACCTAGTTTCAACATAAATAATTTGAACTCTGTTTAACTTCCAACTCATGTTTTACGAAATTGTTTGCATTCCTGAAATGCCCTAATTAGAACATAAGTTTCAAGTTACAATAGACATAGGAAAATAATGAAATTTTCTTTAAAAATTTGTAAAACGAAGATACCAGAAAATTGTTGGAGCGAGGGATTGTTAAGGTAAAACCACGTCTTTGTAATGTCACATTTTTGTTTCAATTAACTAGCTTTTTGATACAAATATTAAAGTGATTTTTTCCAGTACATTAGCACGTTTAACGAAATTGAACATCTATAAATTCCACACATTTCGAAAAACATGAGAATTCATGTAGGTACGTATAAGACTAACAAAAAGCAGAATATTTTTTGAGCTCCGCTGTTCAACTTGATTAGTTTCCGATTATGTGTTCCGTTTCGATCGGTCAGTCAAAATTAGATACGCTTTCGATAAAAAAAAAATGAAAATAAATCTCAACAAAGGCCACACAAAGCATTTCGATGGGTCTCTGGAGATTGGGGTTTACCCAAGTGAATAAATCCGCTTTGTGAGTCGTGACGATAAATTGTATATGAATTTGTCCCAAAGGACAGATCGGACTCAAAACATGATTTGAAATATTTGGAAATGTAACTATACTGGAAAAAGGAAAAAATTAACCAAGCCAAAGTATGAAAAAAAATTTATTAACTAATGTCTCGATTAAATTATTTTCAATCAAAGTTGTTGTACATTAGCCAGAAAAGAGATTGGAGTAATTTTTTGTCTAAATTTATGTAATTGTGCTCTATGCAGTGCTGCGCGCTTAATAGTGATGCGCGTAATAAAAGTACCGCACGTCGCGATTGGTCGTAGTTAACGGAAATAGGGTCGTTTCATGTTTTTTTTTTATTTTTTCATTGAATTAGGCACATCAAAATCTATTCTTGGTTTTTTTCCCGCATTTTTTAGAATAATATTAAAGGAGATATTTCAATTTGAAATTTTACTATTATTCGTTATTTTTTAAATTGTAATGACGTCACAAGGCGCGCTTGCGCACTGTATTTCTAAATTTAAGTTTGCATCACTGACAAAATTTCCTAGTTGTCTAGTTGGCTGCAATGCCACTGGCCCATTTCCTGTCTTGTTTTAGAGGTTATGTCAGTTATTTTGTTTATTTTGATTCGCCTGTCTAGTCTGGTTGATTTATAAAATAAAAAATAAATACTTATTTCACCCGTTTATTTGGTCGGTTTATGTGAGAAGATGGATAGTGGATTTATTAAAGCCTCCAGCGAAAATTTACCTGAACTAAATTATGTGATGTTGCAAGAGTTTTTTGCCAAAAATACGGATTATTTAAGTGCAGAAATAAGAGGAGTCAAAACCGAGGTCAAAACCTAAAGGTGGGTAGTGAAATATTGGCATAATTATTGTATTGGTTTAGCTTTGGCCCATTATTATATTACATTTTTAGTAGCAAGGTAACAGTTTTATAGTTTCATATATTTTTAGGTCAGCGAGAGCCAGTTATGGTGACAATGCTATTGGCTATGTGAATTATTGGCAGTTGAAAAGAGACAGCAGAATATCCTCTGTTAGGAGCATCGCCAGATGAAATAAGCAAATAATTTGTGATTGAAGTTTAATGTCCTAGCCAGAAGGAGACTGTGAAAAACTACATTAAGGAAAATGGAAATATAATGACGAAATACATGTGCCAACTTCAGTCTTCAGTTACAAATGTTATTGTGTAACAGACAAAAAGGACTGTTTTGTGTGGCAAGTCTCAAATTTGGAGAGGATAATGAAGTGACAATTTTTGAATTAGACCTAAACATTAGGTTTATTAAAGTAATTATTGAATCAGCTGAAGAATTTTGGAAGAAAAATGTATTTTCAGTCATTTTGAATAAAAATATATGATTGATTTGGGAGTCTGGTAGTTTTCTTCTTTACATTATTTTATTATTTATGCATTAAAAGTACCCTTTTAATCCCCAGGATTAAATTTCACTTTATTTCTCAAGGGATTAACTTTTTACTTCATTTCCTGTGGAGTAAATGGAACGGGGAATAAAAGGGTACTCCAAAGTTGAGGGAATAAAAAACACTAGTCCTGAGATGTATACACTATTTTATGTACTTTAGAGGAATCAAAAGTACCCTTTTAATTTTTAGTCCCTAAAATGCATATGATAGTGTATACACTTCAGGAATAAAGTGTTTTTTAATCCCTCAACAAATTATAGCCCTCACTTCGGATTAAAAGTACCACTTTAATCTCTAGGTGTATAATGTACTATTTTGGCAGTAAAAAAAAGTATTTTTTTTATACAATATATTCTTTTCTAGCTTCGACATAAAATTTATTTGATTAATGGTAAATTCACTATTCCACAAGCAATATTTATTAAATAATCAGTTTTTGCCACAAGCTGATGGTTAATGCAGGAATGTCCTTCGAGTATTGTTAATTCTCACAATCTTTGTATCACTCTTTCAATATGGATTTGTAAGCTGGCAATTCTTTTATTCAGCTTCTTCACAAACTTGGATTCTGCCTAAATTAATATGTGGAACCACTTTTTTCTTCATAAGTAATTTGCAGTTTGTCATCCTAAACTGCATCTAGTTATCACAATCTTGTTCCATCTATAAACATAATATAATGTTCATATTTTTGAACAGAAAATAGGTGTTTATAAAATGAAATTTGGCAACTAAGTTTACTTACATTGAAATGATCTTCGCAGCAATAAATTCCACCAGAAATACTAGACAATACATTAACTCTTTCCACAGCTAAACACCAACTTCTTCTTTTTGTTCATTTTTGGGGACAGCTATAAAGATTTTCTTCGAATTTAAATTACTGTTTTTACAAGAAGGAACAAAACATTTACGAAAATCCATAGCCAAATAGTGTACAGTAGGTTGGACTTGGGTGGGTACACTGAAACTGAAATGCATGCTCTATTTGAGACCTTAATAACATCAAATAATGAGAAACAATGACTTACCTTGAATTTATTACACGTTTCTTTCAAATATTTTTCTTGAAACCTCGGAAAAACCGTTGAAAAACTCAAAAAATAATGAAAATATAACAACGATCAACGGCATTCCAAAATAATAACACAACAACATAACCTCACAAAATTGCATATGTTGATGAATTTGTTTACAACTGCTTTGCGCATGCCCGCCTAGTGACGTCATGGGAGAAAGAGACCAACAATTCGACAAGGACAAAAAATGTCTAAATTTTAAATTAATTTAAATAATCCAGGAAAAAATTTTCAATAAAACCAATATGACATGGCCAAGTTTTAGGCCTCACTATATCGAAAAATAATGGTCAGTATAATTTTTATAACATGAGGTAACGACCCTATTGATACTGGCGCATGCGTTAAAGGATCTTGACGATAGCTGTCGATAGTCCGAGCGTCTGATTTCCTGGTAGAACGGGCGCAAACAAAAGTGTTGAACTAAATTCTTAAGCGTCTTCCATCAAGTAATCACCTAATAATAGTTTCAACATTCAACATATTTTAATTGTTTTGGATGTGTAATTTTGATGTCCAATTCTGAGTGTTGGGCTTGTGGTCGTAAGAGGGAGCTACTTGATTTAATTTCTGAAATTGTCAAAAGTTTTTTGTAAACAGTTAATTTTACTAATTTCCTGCCACCATCTTCTTCCTCATCTCATCTCCATAACATTCTTACTCCTCGTGCAGAAAGCACGATTTTTATAAGAAATTTTGAAAGAAAATTCAATTAACAGCCAACACCCACGAACATCCAGAGTCCAGATGAAAGTCCAAAATTCCGCCTCCTATAGGCATATTCTGTGTTTGTGTGCCAGTCCAATTTTAATTTCTCAATGTTTATAATAAAATAATTTCTCGATCTTCACCTTTGGTAAGTTAAACTTTGACATAATTTCGAAATCGGACTCATAAGCTTCCTCTCTTCCAGTTTTGTAACTATGTTCTGTATTGGATGCGGCTTTAGCAACCAACTTTATGCTGATTACAGAATTAACACTTACATTTTTTATGTATAACTATTAATACTTAGGCATATCGTATATAACCATATTTCCCTCTGCCATTTGGTAAGTTTTTGATGTATACACCCCAGGTGTAGTAAAAAGAAGTTTCTGCCCAATTGACAGTTGAAAAAGTCAGCCCTTTCAAGGCGGGGAGAATGTTTAGCATATACGTTTCATCTGATAGTACCTGTTCCTGACGTCAATCTAGATCCAGTTATGCTATGAAAACAAAATGAAAATAAGAGAAGATACTGGTCGCCAAGGAGTTGTTTGGAACTTGTCATTAATATTATAAATTATTTCGAATCATCACGTTTTGGTGATCCAATTTTCAATAAAATCCAGTCCAAAATATGAAAAACCTATAGAAATTAGTTTTTATTTCTTTCTCGTTTATCATTTGTTATTTTTTGTTCATAAACTTTTTTTTATTTTTTACTCGCTATGACGAATTAACAAAAAAAAAATATATATTAAAGTGGCCACCGTAGTAGTTTGGGAGCACAATGTACAAAAATAGCTCCCCGTGGCAATCTTAAAGAACGGAAGGTGCCAGTGGTGTCGTTTGATCAGAAAAATGATGTACCTAGTTGAATAATTTGTATGGTGACACCGTCACAGATGTTGCGTTTGTTTAGAATGCGGCAAACAAGATGGCGCCTTAGCAATATGAACAATGTGCACTATTGACGCTGCTATTTGACCAATTTTAATGTTTGTTAGCTTGTTA